TTGTCTGTGCTTCTACAACTTTGTCTGAGCAAACATTTATTACAAACTAATAAATTTAAAAAGCAGGAGCATAGGTGTGAGAGGAGAGAAATAAAATATTGAGCATTGGAATGTAAATATTAGTAGTCAGTGGAAAAGTAGCTCAGCTTTAAGACATATCCAGGATTTCTGGATTTAAGCTTATGTCTACTTGCAAGACAGCATTGCACTCTGAACCTGTGGTGCTCAGGCTTTAATTCTTGAGCAATAGCAATTCTAGAAGCATATCTGCACATGCAGATGTCAAGTAGTCAGTCTTACTGTTGCAAATAACACACTAGAACTTCCACAGAGGAAGAAAGAGGAATGTTATTGCCTCTAGGAAAAATACCAAGAAATGCTGGTGTCCTCTTTATGGCAGCTTGTTTCCCAGCACAGGACACCCTGGCCAAGACTTCAAGTAAGCTCATTTCATGTGTCCATCTACTTCCAAATGTAATCCAAAGAACCTAATCTGTTGCTGCAAATAAAACAGTGCATGTTGCATATCTGCTGATACAGAGGGAACTTCAATTATTTGTGTAGCTGAGTCTGTTTCAAAGAGAGATTGTAAAAGCATATAACCTGACTTGAACAAACACAACTGGCTTGAGTGAGTTGTCCAGGTTGAAGGAGCTCTGGTAAAGGATCTTTTTGCCAGCTGTTGTTGAACTTTGAAATTTTGAAAACTGAGTCAGCCAAGTGTTTGAAAGAGAAATGAAAACAAAGAAGATCAGGGCAGTATTGCTTGCATTAGGACACAGATGGTGTTCTATTTCTGACCTATCAGCCCTTGAAGTTTTAGTAGGTGCAATTTCAATAGCATGTATTTGTGAGAAGACAGTAGCAAAACTTCACCAGAAACACTTGACATGGTAACTTGAGTAGTTGGTTTTTGGATGAAGTTGGAAAAATTTTAAAATGTTGAAAAATAATAAATTTTCTCAAGCACTTTTCAAATTCTAAGGATGTTTTGCTCTGTGCCAGTTAAACTTGTTGCTATGTCGATTGCTTTATGTTTGGTTTAAGATTGGTACCAAACACCACCTTCAGTGAAAGAGAACATAAAAATCAGTGATGAAGAGGGAAAGTTTTTTGGTTTAATTTGCTGTACCATAATATCATCATCTTTTTTGCTAAAAATGTTAATACAAGCAGTGCTTCTATTGAATGATGTTTGCCTTAAGGACTTTTCTCCAACAACTCCTGAAAGTATTTTATTTGGATTAGAGTTTTTATGTTGTGTTACTCTATATGTGGACTCGGCCTACATGGATTTTAGCTTTCTGTAAAAGCACTGGTGGGTAATTTCTGGTATAACGATTAAATCTCTTAACAGAACAACTTATGTCTGAGAATTGCTGATGTCATGACTATCATTCACTGGTTGCTATGGAAATTAAGTAGGAGTGCATTCAATATTAATACTGCATTCCTGCTATGTGCATTTTCCTGATGGAAAAGTACTCGTTTTCTCCAGGAATTCTAGCTGCAGCAGTCCCTGTGACAAAAAAATGCTCTTTGCAAATATGTCAGATGTACTCCTTTCCTTACTGTTCTCAAAGTCATCATCCACCACAGTATGGCTTAGGCAGTTCATGTGGATTTCTGTGTACCCAGCTACTTATGTAGTGTACTGTACCACTTACGTGTCCCAGTCCTTGAGTGAGTTTGTGATAAGGTGCTGTCATGGATTTGCATGAGGTTTTACTTATATACGACTGTGGCTGCCCAGGCACTTCAACAGTATGTTTCTTTTTTAGTTCAAAAGGGAAATTCCTTTCAAAGATGCTGAAAGATTGTATATAGAAGTATGGGATTTGGGTATCTGCTTTAAAGTGTTTTCCATGTAATCCTTTTCCAGCGATGTAACAACAGAGTTTAACAACAGTTTATTTTTCTGAAGTCCTGATTTTTACTGTTTAACTTTCCTTTCTGACTTTCAACTAGTAGCTGCATTTCCTTTATTAAATTTTGAAATGTCACTCCTAAAATGCTGCTGCACTAGTAAGTTGAGCCAATAGTTCAAATTTAAGGATAAATTGAGATAGATTTACAATTTAGCACTTCTGTTTAAAATATGAACACTAGAAGATGTTTCAGTTTTGACAGTTTCTTGCCAGTCTTCTTGAGGAAATATTTTTGTCTTTGATTACAATCCATTAAAAGCCAGATAAATATTGTAGCACTGGTTAAATACAGGAGCTGTGTATATCTAATCTCAGACTGATGAAAGAAGCTTAAAGACTTGGAAAGAGACCTGCTGCTTAAGGGGCATTTGGCTATGAAAAGAATAGGATCACAGCATTCCGGTTATAGAATTAAAATTTATTTTTACAAAAAAGAAAAGTATGTTGGCATGTATAAACAATTTACACACTACCATTCCATCCCAAAAAAATTAGAAACCAAAGCAAGAATAAGTGTGAAATAGCTGTAAGATGTTCAACACCAGTGCTAATGATGAGCTTTTGGCTTCTGCAGAACTGGCTTCTGCAATGGCAAAAAAAGGTTTTTTTCTCTTTGTATGAAGAGCTAGAAGTGTAACATGTAAATGCAAACAAAGTACCTTTTGTCCTCTATATCATAAAGAAGTATTGTGTGCCAGTGTAATTTATTTTAAAATTCAGAACTGATTGATTGATGCTCCATGAGGTCTGTGGATTGTACCCCTTTGGTGTGGATAGATGCACTTGATATGTGTAATAATGTCTCCATTCACAGGAGTGGGAGCAGTATTGAAAACTGCAGCTAAACTTGCTGTCTCCAATAGCAGTGGCATGACTGATTGCTGAAAGTTGGAACATGGGACTTGAATAGAGGTTTGGCAACACAGGGGAGAATGGTTGTCTGTTTTGCAGTGTGACATGAGGCAGTATTTACTCTGGTCCTTTTCTCCTTTTCCAAGCAATAGGCAGGTTGCCAAGTACAGGGTCTGAATGGTTTGAATCTTCAGTTGGAAACATTCTGGATACACTGAAGTAAATGAGATGTGCAGATAGGTCAGGAAATGTGGAAGTTGCCCTCTAGATAGATGATGCAAATGGTCATGCAACCTAGATGGTTTATTCCTTACACATTTTTTTTTTAATGTCCAGTACAAACCTCTGGCTTGTTCCTGTCTATAACTCTCTTCTTAAAGAGAAGTTACTAAACCCAAAACTTTCTCATAACAAATATACAACAGAATTTCTGCATCTGGAACTTCTCCCAGATAAGTCATGGCACAACCGAGTAGTTGATGATGTACATATGTACTTCCAGACACACAGTAATTGCATCTTTAGTTGTCACTGTTTGTATTTTTAGGATTAAAATGTTCTGCTTCATGCTCTGGAGAAATGAAGATCTTGCGCAAGTGTTCAGCAAGCTCAACTGAGGGAGTACAGTTGCTGTTTTGGCAGCTCCAGCATTCAATTATAAGGCTTCAGCCTCACAGAGCTCATTTTGAAAATGCTCTAAAGAGTCAGATCTTTTATTTACCTTCTAATTTCAGTGCAATTTATTTTTCAAGCTGTTCTCCAGCTGTGAGGGCTGATTTAAATTAAATTCTTCCCAAATTGTTCAATCCACATTTAACTGTGTTTTAAAAAATGCCACATAGTGAGATTTAATACTAAAGCTCTCTGTCACTTATGATATTGTAAATCTCTCAGCAGTTTAATGATATGTAGAGCTTTCTCTTCTGGAGCATCTTGCTTTGCATGAAGAAAACTCAACTTTCCAATTTCTATTAATTCTTTGAAACAATCTTGATTTTTTTTTTTTTCCCATATAGTTGAATCTCTCAATCTGAGGGTGCTTCAGTATGGTACTGTGAGTGAAATGGTTTTTGTCCAAGTCTAGTATCCTAATTAATGAAAGAAAATCTAGGATTTTCAAATAACTCATGACAGAATAGTCTGTTATAGAGTGCAACTTTTTAATAGGCTATTAAACTTGTGTTTACTACTGCATTAAGTGATTCAAACACTGATTCTTGTGTCATATTTTAAAACCACTTATTCACTGTCTAGAATCTAAATGCTGAAGTACATGCAACTCTTAGAATGGCAAGTAAATTAGGGAAAGTTTCTTTCACCTATAGCTCTTTCTACAAAACTTCAGCAAAGTTTTGATAGTTTCCCTGATTTTCTTCAAGGGTTAAGTACATGGAATAAGAATATGATTTTTTCTGAGAGAACACTTCCTTTCACTATAAAAAAAACAAACTATGATTGGGAAAGGCAAGGAAATTGGAAAAATTAAAACTAAAAGTTTGAGTGTAAAATTATCCATGTATCCTGAACACTAGACTCTTGACATATATTTCTTGCAACTGATTTTTCTATAGACTAATAGTATTCTGGGTTATAAATTTAAAAGCTTTGAAGCTTGGTGCTTCTATTCACTGTTGTGTTGCTAGGGGGTTTTTATGTAGTGCTTGGTAAGATGAATCTGTGGAAAATAGGTTTGGTTTATTTTAACACCTCTTTGTAAGAATGGTGAATGTCTCGGTATCCACATAACAGCCTGTTGTTGTATTGAAGAGAAATAATTTTGGTTTACGGTTTTAAAAAAGGGGTGGGCAAATTTCTCATATTTGGACATTTGCACAAATATTTCAAAAATTATTTATTCACCATCATCTCTATATTGATGTAAGGTTTTCATGATATACTAATAAAAAAATGATTGAAGCTCACGATGAATAAGCAGGAAAGCACAATACTTTCAATACTTTCAATTATGTATTTTCCCCTGAGTAAGGAATGTCTGTCTTTTCCTCCAAATTTCTAGTTGTATTATGCTTTTCTGCTGATGCTGGTGCCCCCATAGATATACACATCAAATCCCCAAATGCACGTTTAAAAGAAGGCTGGCAAAATGTTGGTAATATCTATTGCATCAGCTGCACTGAGATGAATTCAGAGCTCATTCATTAAAACCCCAGGTGTTTAAGGAGCTACTATTAACCTTTTCTCCCCATACTCTTTCGGCAGTACTTGGGACACGTTGAAGTGGATGAATCCAGAGGAATGCATATCTGTGAAGATGCTGTGAAGAGGCTGAAATCTGTATGTATATTTGTTTAATGAAAACGTTGGCTTTGGGGCTGTAAGCATTACTGGAAAAGGTCTGTTCAGAGCGGTGCTCCAGCCAAAGACTGAACTTTTGACCCATGTTAGGAGAACAGTTGGCCAGTTTGAGAGCAATGCTGCTCTTGGGGGGACGTGCTAATCTGAAGATGAGAGGGAGAGTTACAACTGTTCTTTCTACTTGCAGAAACTATTTGCAAAACAAATGTGTAAAAATTCTCTGTGACCTTTTAGGCTAAGTTGGTACCCACATGGGACTTCAACCGTTGTTTTTTAACAGCTTCTCCCTCTCTCTCTTTTCTTCTCCCCCTCTCTCTCTTTCCCTCTGTTGCCTGCCACTTTAATAGTGACTTAATTCACCATTATTATACAAAATATTACTTGTTTTAGGATGCTTTTTTTTCTAATGCACTGCAGCATTGTAGTCGTGCATGAAATAATCTGGCTTGCATCTGCTCAAAGTGGCCTGAAGGCTGCCTAATTCTGACATGTCATGAAATGGGCTGCTCTTAGTTTGGCTTCTGTGAACGTTTGCTCCTGTAAATGGCACTCGTTCAAAGCTCTTTGTATTTCTGTGGCTCATTTGAAGAGGTCTTGTCATCTCTTTCCTGCAGTAATAATACCACAAAACCCTGTGGAAATAGCAAACTCCAGAAAGGCAGTCTGTCAAGGAACTGAGGCTTTGACATCATTGAAAAGAACAGGAAAAAGGACATGAAAAAAATGGAATTTTTAATAGAGATAGAGAACTGCAGTCCTTGTCATCACTTCTCTTATATGTTCTATCTACATACATTCTTCAGTATGCATTCAGTGGAAGAAACCCTTGTATCCTTGCAGCTCAACAAAATCCATCAAACCCTTCTACTGCACTTCTGCTGGTTTAAAATAAGTGCTACTGGACATCCCTTTCCTCACCAAGTCTGAGAGCTCAAATGGTTTCCGTCTAAACCTGTTTTTCCCTTCTTCCTAGCACACAGCAGAGGATTATAGGTTATCTTTTCTGCCTTCTGTTGTGCTGTAAAGTTTGTGAATTGGTTTAATGCTCTGATTAAAATCAAGTCTTTTCATTCTTTTCTTTCTCAGCTAATATATAGTAACCCATTAAAGCTGCATCCCATCTGTTCCCATTCAGTCTGCAGTGATTAGTGATTGATTTTTATTAAAAAGGGCCACACAAAATATAAATGAGTTTCTTTGTTCTGTGGATTTAGTTTACATACCTAAAAGTGCACATACTGACCACATAATCAATTGCATCCGTTTTTGGCTCTGATTTTTTTCTGATTTTCTCAGAATACTTTCTGTTAGCACACCAAATAGTACTGCAGGATCTACTTTGTGCAACTTGTTTCATTCTCTTCCCTGGGGAGCTGTTCTGTGGAGTAGCTGTTCTCTAGTTTATAAAAATCTTACAAGTCCAGGAGCCAGCTAAGTGTAGCTAAGCTTATAATTAATGAGACATAGTACAAGCATAGCACCCAGCTTCTTCTGGAATCTGGATTTCTAGGGTTGGGATTTTTCATCACATGAATTACTGATTCAAAAATCAGACTTGGATATCTAACCTTTACAGTTAGTCAGCATTTTCTGAAAGTAAGTAGTTAGATTTTCTTAATCCATGTTATGTCATTATTCCGAATTGTGGATGGCATGAATTTACCCATTCTCTTAAATTTACATTTTTCTTCAGATAGTTTTGATTTCTTCTGCGGTTTTATGTCTATGTGTACACCAAATACAAGTGTGCATCTCTTAAAATTGCTATTTGTCTCTTTCGTCAGTGTTGGAAGTTGAGAAGTGGAGGTGAAATTCTCTTTGTGCCCCAAGAGGAAGATTCAGATTATTGAAATTACTTTGTGTGCTTTAGTTGCTAGACTCTATCAGATGCAAGGTCCATTTGGAGCTGCTTATTACAATTCAAGCCCTGCCTCTCAGGGCAAGGCTTGCTTAAAACCCAGTATATGGTTTTTAAACCAGAGGCATTTCTTTAGGACATCACCATTACTGGAAGCTCTGTTCTGTACAAGACACTCTTAATTTAGCAGAAGCCAAACACTGAGTGATATCTCAGCATGTGAGGAATGTGATGAGAAAACAATTCGTTCTCCTTGCTTTCATATTAGTTATTTTGATGGACTTTCTCTTGGTTTTGAAAAGATTACAAGTTTGATCTGCAGTGCTCAAACTGAAAGACTAGCTTAAGGGAAATTGGACTTCACTTTTAATGTGGTTAAATGACATTGAAGTGTATGTGGGCTATTTTAAACTTCATTCTCTGCATGTAAAGTGTAGGTTTTATAAACCCAGTCAATAAAAACTAGAATTGTTGAAATATTTGTATCCTGTAGCTTCCAAAAATTAAGTTCTGTCTTTTCTTATTCTAATAGATATATTTTCTCCTCTTAATTCTTGCTGTACAACAGTTGGCAATTCATTTGGGGAACTGAAGACTGTTCTTTTATAGGACTGACTACTGGGTTGTAAAAGATTTTATAGGATTTGCTGAGAAGAATATAGAACAGTGTTAGTCTTGACTTTAGGAATAGCTTAATTACTGCTTTGCTTTTTGAAAGGAAAGATGCAAACAAATATCTCTGTCTCTTTATTGTGGGAAATAACCTTTAAGGGATTTTTTATTACCTGCTCCTTTAATGGGTATAAGTGTTTTTGAGCGCTGCATCTTGCAGAACTTGCAAACAATGATGGTGAGCATTTTATTCAGATGTTGCTTAATTGACAGCTGAGTACAAGAAGCCACATTTAGCTCAAGAATCCCTCATCCACACTGTACTCTGTTACAGTTTTATAGTTCTGAAACTGCACACCAACAATATTGTAATTTTCTGTCTGATGAAATGGCCTCACAGTCTCATAAATAGATCAAAACCCTTCATATTTAGCTATTAGTTTATTATTAACATGGGTTTATATTATCAACAGAACTTGCATTTTTCCTTAGTGAAGTATTACCAGTGTCACTTACATTATTCCTTTAGTAGAGTATATATTGCTAGCTTTGTATACATTTACTATTTGATAAGATTCATGTAGATGGACATGACGCTCTGAATAGTTTCTTCAGAAGCATTTCACTGAATTTAAAATATTTAGTGTCAACTGGAAAGTAACTTTAAGGGTCTTATTAAGTGTATTTGACTCAGGTGTGGGAACATCATATAAAGACAAAAGTGTACTCTCTCATGTCATATTTTGATTTTAAATCAGCTTTAGCTTGTAGTATTGGTTTCTAACTTGCTACTTTTTGTTTTAAATTATGCATTTGTTTTAATATATGTTCTTATTTTAGCAGGTAAAGAGACATAGTATTTTTAAAAAATGCATTAGTTATCTCTAAACTACATTAACTTAGTGTTGCTTAAAATCCATTTTGCATGATGCCTTTTTCCATTAACCTTGTCTAGTTTATTTAAAAAAAATAATCTTGTTTAACAAGCTTTTTTCTGAGAGCAAAATTAACCATCACCTAAAAATGAGGTAGCTTCTGGTGAATCTCTTTAGCTTTTGCTGTCTTTAAAAAGCTGTTATTCAGTGCAATGCAATAGTCATCGCTCAACTTGGCAGCAGCACCCAACCCCTTCTCATTATGTACACTACATTGTGATTAATCCATTAGTTCCCCTCCCAGTGTTCAGAATATCCTGTCCAAATACATAACTGTTCCTGCCTCCAAAAGTGCTTAACCTTTTCAGCTGACCGAGCTTGGAGATGGTCTTTATACAGTGTCTGAGTTGATGTAAATATGTTACAGATACTTGGTAAAGCATTCTGTGGAAGGACATGGGGGCAGAGAGGGACACAGCAGTAGGGCTAGGGAATCCAAAGTTAAGATGGACACTGCCTCCTTAAGTTGGTGTTTTCTTGGCTTTTGTTGCCTTGCATCAGAACCATAGCTTTGATTTAAATATAACCTTGTTTTTCAATCAGTTCTTCAGACACTGCTTCAGGATATTTGTGGCAATGCTTTAATATAGTAGTATCAGTGATGAACAGGTTGGAATTGCACAGTGTAAATGTGAGGTCAGGGGCTGTCACAGAGATGCTCCCTGTCTCTTCTGCAATTCTCCACCTCCTCCTCATTACTACCAAAGCTTTCTTACAAGTGAAGTAATTTGGAAAGACAGCAGGAACAGCTCTGTGCTTTACGTCAGCTTCCCTCACACGCGGAGCAGCATGTGGCTGTGCTCGCAGAGCACCAGGCCTGGTCAAGTGTCCCCTCATGTAATTTACTTTCCACAGTCTGGTAACAAAATAAAGCTAGTAAACTAAACTGCATGCAAATATGCCTAAAATCGTGTGCTGGCTTTTTCTTAATGTGGATTGGGCAATCAGTATAATTGCTTTCCTGAAGAAATGTAGGAAATTGTAGTTCAGCCTTTGGTATCTTTGCACTTGCCTAACTGTCTCTGCCTGCCTGAGCTGATTTTACAGGCTGCTCAACCTATCAATTCAGAGTTGTAGAATGAATAACTAGTATTTGTATAAATATTGCATAAAACCTTGGAAAGCTTTAGAGAAGGAGAAAGAGGTCTCATTTTTATTTGAATTTTACCACAAGGTTATGATGAAATTCCTTGCTCTTCAAAGAAGACTGTGTAAGATGTGAAGCATAGTAGTAGTATGTAAGCCAGAGCAACAAGCAAATGGAATAAAATGCAGCAGTACTTACCCCTGCTTTATATGAGCCATACATGCTTCTCCAACATATAGAACAGTAGTTTTAAGAAAGAGTGATCAATACAGAGCAAATTAGATTGCAATTCTGGAGTTAGAACTTTGCATTTCACAAGAGCCTGTGCAGTATTTTACTTGTTTAACCAACATGTCTGCTGCCAAGTTTGGTTTATAATCTAACCAAAAGGGACTAAACAAGAAAGAGTGAAAATAAAGTAACCACTTTGCATGAAATTGGGGCTGAGGTTTTCTTCTTTTCACCAATTTCAGGGCAGTAGCTTGTTAGAATTGTGTGTGTGCCCTTTGATCTGCATTTTCATAGGATTATTTTCACATTTGCCTGTCGCACCTTCTCATGGATAACTCTAAAAACCCCTTCCTTTCCCTCCAAACCCTATTCTTGTGTGTGCTTGTTGGTTTGAAAACCCTGGGACATTTTAGCTACCTACAGTAATAGCGCTCGACTTGTCCCCCCTGTTCCTCCAGGAAAGGAAGTTCTTCAAAGGCTTCTTTGGAAAAGTAAGTTTAATGCCTTGTTTGTGCTTGCACTATAAGGAGTTACATCCCTGGTATAGCACTGCCATAAAATCAGGGTGTTGTGAGTGCCTTAATCCATTTCAGAATATTTGCTTCTAAAACAGGCTTGGAAATATTTTGATCAAAGAATGTGGTTTCAAAAGTAATCCGAAACAGAAACTTAAATATCTGTGGACTGTATCAGAAATCCAGTGTTCTGAAGTGATTTGGTGTTCCTGAAACAAAAAATAATCTTTTTTAACCCTTAAACTTGTGCCAACCTGCATCACTGAGGCAAATACCTACAGAACAGTTGAAGTCTGTGCTGTGTAAGTGCTTCATGCCCAGCTATCTGGCAGCATGGGTTAATCCCCAAATGTTAGCACTGGCAAAAAGGAGTGTGCCATCTCTTAAACCTTCCTTTTTCGAGCACAGTCCCAATTCAAAGATATATGAAGATGAGATCAGGCATTTACCTACTATGCTTTCCTAATTTCAGCTCAATCTCCAGTTTCTATCGTTGCTCTTGTTTTCACAAGGACAGTGTCTTAGATGAAGGGAAGCAACCCTGTCCTTATTCAGAATGTGCTGCACTGGTGGCTGGGTGGTTTTGTTCCCACTGCCTGCATTTCTGCAAGGCAGAAAGATCATGCTCTCTTTTACCTCTCATCTGTTTCCTACCTCTGTGTTTAAAATTCCTGTAAAACCTTTTAATCCAGCTTTTATATGGAGTTAATCTAAGATAATGGTTTCTGAATTATCTTATTGTAAAATGAAACTTTGCTTAAATAGAAACAAACAGGTTTGTAATGTTCATAAATGCTGAAGTCTTTTGAAGCAGATGATTCTCTAGTCATGAATTGGTTTGGGCTTTACTTGGGGAATAAGTAAGGTTTTTTTCAGCTGATCCTTTTTCACCATTCACTCAGATAATGATAGGTGTCACACAGGAACATCTGTATCTCCAGTTCTGGTTTCTTCCTATCATCAAGGAGAGCACACATCTAAAGCACAGTGGTGGTGGTGAGGGGCTAAAATATAGAAGATGGCAGATCAGTGAGATTAATGGGAACAGTCCTGTGTGCAAATCAAATCCTAGAGCTGGAATCTAGAAGGACCAAACCCAAAGTGCTAAATTGGAAACAAACAGAAAACCCCCACCTCAGCCTGATTAAATATGTTCGTTTTCTCTCTGCTTGTTGGTACTAACTTACATTAGGCTACATAAGAAAGCAAAGATGTGAAAGGAAAGGTATTTGCATAGCACTTAGGTAAAAACCTTTCTTTGGCTTTTTAAATTATTAAATATGCTATCTTCCCTATTACATCTTGGTTGGCATTTAATGAAGACTGGTACTTTACCACAGCATTTTAGATTTCCTTTCTCCTGTATTATAATATTTTGACAAAGAAGGACCTACTTCTACTTCAGCCTGTGAATTTCATTAATTAGCACTGAAACCACTTAAATCTATAGTGTTTAGATATCCCCACAGCAGCAGTGTGGCAGTACCTTTATTACAGCTTCAGCCTACAACAGGAGCCCACATCTAGGGAAATCTGCAGAAAAAGGGACAGCTGTTCTCTTATTAATAATTGAGAAATACTAATAACTCTAATATCCTTTGGCTGTCTCATCTATAATTTCTTCTCAAATGCCTTGCATTTGGATTAATATAATATTCCAAATTGCCAAGCTATTTAAAACACACCAACAGCTTTCAGAAAGTCAGTCTAGACATGTCTGCCACTTTCACTGTCCATATGTTTCTCCTTGTAAAAGGTAAATACGATGGATTTGTTTCTGGAAATGTTCAAGTGGTTAGTATTGAAAATGCTTTTTTTAAACTTGAAATAAAAATGAGATGTCTGTTGATAACTCCAGGATAGGCTTTTGTGTTTATAAAATAAGCAGCCTTTGAAGGCAGCTCCTTTTAAAACTAAAACCTTTCTGTTGTAATGAGGAGTAGTAGTACAGATTTGGTGACCTTTGTTGTGCTTTCCCTCCATGTGTGTGTGTATTTCTCATCACACAGTGTTTTATACAGAGTCTCAAATGAAAATTTTTCTTCCTATATATACCTCAGGTGTATATATATGAAGAAATATATATGTTTCAGGTGTATCTTAGAGCCATGTCCAAGTCCCAGGATAGGATAAAATATAATGGGCAGAAAAACTACAAAGTTACAGTGTTTAAAAAATGCATTATTGGGCAATTTCTGGCATCTTTAATACCACCTTACAATAGAAGAAGGTATAAAAGCATCTACTTTTTTCTTGGTTGATGCCCATCTCCAGGGCACGGCCAGTTTGTCAGTGGGGTTTCTGTCGTGCCCAGCCTGCCATGGACCTGCCTTGTCCTCCAGCCTCATTGTGTGCTAGGATAAATGCCCACCTGCCCTCCTGGAGATGTCTGTGAACTCTGAAATGAGTGCAGATAATGAATCTCATGCTGGAGGAGATTACTGACCTCCCAGAAGGGCTGAGCCCTGAGGTTCTATCAGTGCTGACTCAGCACTGACAAATCAGGCTCCTGGAGTCAATGCCACATGTGGCTGTCCTCAGGCAGTGCTGTCATCTAAAAGCTCTAGAATATAAAAACAAGCTACAGGTCTGGATGTCTAGAGGAGTCCCTTGGTAGGAACATTTCAGAGCATCCTGTTCCAGTGGATATTGGCCACTTGCTTTAAATAGCTCTGTTTGGAGTTGCCTGTACCTCCCAGCATTTGTTACACAGGCTGAGGTCCTGTGTTGGAGTTCACCTCCCATGCAGTATCTTGCAGTTGGTCTGATCTTTGTCCAGAATGTGCCAATGGTGCCAATGCTCCTATCTACTCTGTAATCACAATTTACTTGGCAATATCCCTCCCAGAATGAAGTAGTACTTTGATTGGTACGTCCAATGGGAACTGAATTGGAGGAGTGTGTTCCTTTATACATCACTGGTAGGCACAGATAAGCTGAGAATTCAGAAAATGTAAAAATCATTCATTGTCCAGCAGTAGTAGCAGTGGGTTTGGGGTATAGACTGTAAGGATAAGCCCTTTCAAACCACTGCATCCACCATAAATATAGAAGAAGGAATTGGGAGATTAAAATGAGTTTTCTCTTTCTTTTAGTGTAGCAAAATCTTTGGTTGTCTTGCATGTGGAACCTAATGTTTCAGTGGGAAGCTCTTTAGCCTTCTCATTTTATTTTGAGAAACATTAAGTTCATGTGTTAACTATTTCTAAATCCTCATTTGATAAAATAGCAAGTGAGGAGTAGCTCTGGTGAAGATCAGCATTGCTTTATGAAGTACCCAGCTCAGTTAAACTTGGCTTTAATACAAACTCCAAGAACTGTCCACAGTTTCTGTATGGACAAGGTTTTTATTGTTTGCTGGGGAAAGATGTGTATCTCTTAATCTAATGATGGCACTCTAAACAAAAAACTTACCTGCAGGCATTATCTTTTCTTCATTGTTTGCATTTGCTTGAAATAAAGATTTTTAAGACTTATGGCTTATAAACAACAGATACTCTTTTAAAAACAGTTCAAGGAGACAGACCTTTAATAGGGTTTAATAGGGACCTTCAGGCTGTGGAAGCTAGCTGAGCATTGAAAATACAGGCTATATTTGTGGGTATTGATACTGCCTTTTAAAACAAAATATTAGAAGCTACTTTTATATGCTACAATATTTTCTAACACTTATGATGGTAAATTTAAAGTGTTTCTTCTGTTTTGAATTGCACTCTTTCCATTAGGCATTCTGGAATCTAAATTAAACATTCTCTGGGGTATCCAACAAGCTGGATGGTCATTTAGAAACTTGCTTCTGCAAGCACTTCTCTGTAGCTTGCTTTCATGCTGTGCTTATTTTCTCTCTTTTTTTTTTTTTTTCTTTAAATGCTCTTCTGTGCAAGTCACTGCCATTCTCTGTTCTTACCAAGCTTTTTGAAAATGCTCAGGATGTCATTGCTGCTTCCGAAATTGGGACAGATAGTTCCTCCCAAAAAAAACAAACAGAAATTCTGCCAGCACCTTTTTATTTCACACTTGCTGCTTTCTCTGAGAATGAAACCAATGTGATATAATTGGAGAGTTTTCACTCCAAGATATTTCATTCTTACAGTGTTAAAATTGGTATTGCAGACTTGGAACATGCAGTAGCTTATGCCAGGGTGTATTCTTGTTCCATTACTTGCTGTAAGAATATAAAGTATACACATCTGCAATAAACTATTAAAAAAATTATAGTTGCAATTCTAGTTTGAAGCCACTAGCTGAAACCCCTTCATCTTTTTTTTTCCCCCCTTGTTGCTTTCTTCACTCCCTGCAGTGGTTTTTAGTGGGTGCCATTAGCAGCCACAAACTGTGGAAACCCAGTGCTTCAAAACGCATGAAGAGAATATTTTAATAACTGGCTAAAGTAGGGGGATTGTGAAATAAAGTGGCATACTAGAAAAAAACTGTATGAGTTTGCTAGCAGTAGTTCTCTGTAACAACCAGTAATATTGCATTGACCTATTTTCTTTTCAATGAATTAACTTCAGAAGAATATTGTGTTTGTACTGTTTTCTATATCTTTCCCTTGAAAAATAAGCAGCCTGGAAAGAATCTGTAGTTTAAATGGCTCCTGAATCCTTCCTGTATTTCCCACTTTTACTTAGCCTCAGCTTGTGGCAGCTGAAAGTTCCCACAGTCAGGTTCTGGGTAGAAGCCAGACCACTCTCCGCTGCACCCGCCTGCCACACACCACTGCTTTTTCCAGATGCACACCAAAGATTCTTACCTCTCTCCCCAGATAGGACTTTTAGGTCTTAGTAAATTAGTGAAACATATTTGGGTGATTGATCTTAGCATTAAGCTTATGAGCTTAAACAGCTACACAGTAACTGATGATTTTGGGGTGCTTTTAACACTGGTTTAAGGTGATGCCATGATTCTGCCACGGGACTATTAGGGCAGAGAGTAGGGCTGGTGGAAATATCAGGTAAGAATTTTCCTATATTTAAACTTGTGCTGAAGAAGCTACCTGTGGTGTAACTCCTTATGAATGAGTGTCTTCTGACTCTAGTGGAATTCTTCACCCACTTGGTCAGTCTTGAATTCTTTACTGTCAGTGGATGTACACCTTTCTGCCTCACCTGTCCTGTGCCCTCTCCCCATCCCCACGACGTGCTGTTTCTGAAATACTGGCTTTGGCTTGGTTCTCTTAATGTTTTGCAACTTGGATTGAGCTTTGGGCACCCTACTGACCATGGACTTCATCTACACTTAATGTTATAGTTCTTGGAGAGGGGAAGCGGGAGGCAATTGGCTGTTGGCATAAAACTGTTTTCTTTTCTTTTCTTTCCCTTTTTTTTTTTTCTTTTCTTGAAAGTCTGGGAAGAAAGCCGTCAAAGCAGTCCTGTGGGTTTCAGCGGATGGACTCAGAGTTGTAGATGAGAAAACAAAGGTTAGATTTCTCTGGGCAAAAGTTTTAAATCTCTCTATAATAATGTATGTGCTATTTCCTTAAATAGACAGCAATATTTGTGACTGCAAATGTTGGCATTTAAAAGGAAGACTGAAATGTGTAGTTTAGTTTAATAATTTCTTGTTTTGCAAACATACGTACACCTTCTAATTTTTTTCCCAGTTAATTCCACACTGCTCTCAAGCCACATTTTGTAAAATGTGCCAGGTGTAGCACAAGCTTGGAATACTTTTTTGTTGAATTTACTGCAACAAGCATTGGTTTTCCTGCTATGTTCTGTTGGCAGTGAACTTGAAGAGTCCCTGGACTTCATTCTGCACCACTGCAAAAGGCTGCAATAATAATAATGCATAGGCAAACTCTCATATATACATTAATCAATATAATTTTCAGTGCATCCAAATCCTAGAATGGATCTGAATGAACAACAGCTTCCAAAAATGAAATGAAGAGAGTAAATTTAATTGAGAGATTGTAGCTTCAGACTCAAACTAAATAGTAACTGCATATATCAAATTTAATGATCTTTAATATATAAGATGTTGGTCTGAAGTGGAAAACTAATATATTTGTGGCATAATTCTATATTGTTTTACATTTTTATTGTGAAATTACTATTTTTTATTATGAATTAGCATGTGGTGTACCACCAGGGCAGATGTGTCCAAGTAAGAGCAAATGATTCTTGGTTTTATGTAGATGTAGGCAATTAGAAATAAGAGCTTTAAGCTTACAAGTGCACTGGTATTTTAAAAAGATGGCATGCTATGAGAACAGTTTTAACTCTTGTCAGTCTGAAATAGTATATGTTTGTATCAATAGACACTTATTTTTGTCAGCCTAAAAGATGATTTCTCCAAGCCAACACTGACAGGCAGAGCTAATTCATATCCCTCTGGATTGCAACTGCCTATCAAATATCTGCTTGTGGTTAAACTTCTCCACGGCTGCTGCAGTGGTATGGCTCTTCAGAGCTAAAGCTGCTGTCTCTCAAGAATTCACTTTCTAATACAAACATACTGATGTGAATAAATTCAGTCTACTGATTGCCTCATGTAGAAGTAATAATACATGTATTATTTTTAGAAATGTTGCTGCATATATGTAATATTTTCAAATTGATTTTTAATCAATTGTGCAGACTCTGGAGGTAATTAAAAGTATAAGATTTAAAAAGAAAATAAACTGTTGCCTCCTGGTGGTTGAATACATCAGCAGAGGTGCCAAGTACTAGTTACCAACCAAATGAAATAATTTGGAAAAAAATATTAAAAACTAATTTTTAATGAGGATGGCATAATTTTTAACTATGTTATCTCCTTTTTAGAAACGCTTCTCCCATCTGTCGGATTAAATAGGGAGCATTTAGTGCTACAGTGCTGCTGGTGTTTTTCTCTTGCATCCCTGCTTAGCTGACTGGGAGATGAGTTTCGCTCTTTGTGTAGCAGCTGCAAGACCTTTTCACTCTTGCAGACCTCTCCCCTAAGTTTCAGTGTTGTGATTTAACCAGTGAAGACTTTCTGGTTGCAAGACTATGGAGCTGCTGTAAAAATAAAATAATATACATGTGTGCCTCCACAGTCTAGAGGAGAGCTTATAGGAATACACTGGCTCCCTAAATTCTTAAGCAGTGCCTTAGCACACCTCTCCCAAAGATGGGTGGTGAAGAATGTCATCTCTTCTTTTTGTTTTGTACTGGGAACAGATTTTGAAAGGTGACTGATGACAAATAATTACAGACACATCATGTTATCCCCTTTTTCAGTATAACTCATTTTTGTGCAGTTGCACCTGACAGTGACTTGAGTTCAAGTGTTTGGCCATATTTCCTCACATTTCTTTTATTGTGGGGGGGATTTTTTCCCTCTAGGATCTTATAGTTGATCAGACAATAGAGAAGGTTTCTTTCTGCGCACCAGACAGGAACTTTGACCGGGCGTTCTCCTACATCTGCCGAGATGGCACAACGAGACGCTGGATCTGCCACTGCTTTATGGCTGTGAAGGACACGGTAAGTTGAACATGGTGTGTGGCCAGCTCTCCCAGCTCTTAGCTAGAAGGACAGAAAATTTGAGTACCTGGAATAGTGCAGTATGTTTTGACTCCAGCTGAGATATTATGTAGTCCTTGTAAATTATTTTAATTCTAATTCCCTGTATCTGAAATATTTGCCATCCCTCTGTCGTGCTGTCTTATGGAGAGAAATGCTGCTCAGCCTGTATGTAAAAAGAGTGCAGTCAGCCTCAGATAGGCTCCAGCAGAAGGGAACTACTCTTCTAAGAATAGACAGAAAATTTTCTCATTTGAAAATGTTTACAGCTAAAAACTGAAACAGCAATGACAGTTTTTTCCAGGATAAAATCATAGTGAGTAAATACAGACTTGTGAATGCGGTGTCTTGTACGTGTTATCTTGAATGAAAAGTCATCTGAATGTTAAGAGATGGAGCTAAACTGAATTAAATTAGCATTCTATTTGCTTCTGAGTGACAACAATATTTTGAGTAGGTTTGAAATCAGTTTCTTGCTGTGTAGACTTAGGTAAGTTATTTAACTCCCTGATCTGACCTTTTCTTCTCTCTGCTGTTTGTTGAATCCTGCCTATATTGTAGAAAGTGCTTAAAGCCTCATGCAAATTCAGTGCCTGAACTCCCCAGAGCTGCATGTTCAGAGTTCAATGGTACTTGATAATTTATCATTTTTCTTTAAACAATGAAGTCAAAAATTCCCAGTAAAACTACATTAGAGCTGGAATATTTCTGTTTTCATCTGTGAATAACAGGTCAATTCACTTAATGATGATGAGAGATGAGTTGAGCTACTGGTAGTAGTCATGCCTCTGATTTGACTGTAGAAGCTGTATAAGCTGGGTTGCTGGACTTCCTCAGACTTGTATTTCCTTTTTACAGTTATTGGATAGTGGATTCTTTTGACCTAGTGAATAATGGAAGTGCTTTTCATTAGGCACTCCTAAATCTAACTGGTGCATTTGGTCAGGATCATTAAGAGGTGTGAGTAGTCACCACTGTACGTTTAACTTTCACAGGTGCATACAAAATTAGTGTCTCCCTGAGCCCTCTGTAAACTTTCTCCAAGACCAGTGCTTACCTTTGCTTTAGGACTTACACCTTAAGACAGCTTCATGAGAGTTTCTGTGTGCACAGATGTATCTAGAGGCAAGGGATCAGTGCAGGCACATTATTGCACTGGCATCTTAGTAGCAGTTGAACTCAGCAGATCATCCAACAATCTCACTCATTCCTGGGTGGCCTTCTTGAACATGGCTTGTGCATTAGTAGCTGGGAGTCTTTATGTACCAGGTTTAAGGCTGAAATACAATTAACATAGTTTTCTTTAATGCCTTAATTAGGTTGGTCTTGTAAAGGCAGGTTTTCAGTTTGTGATGCTTGAAGCACATGTATGTTTCTGTTCAGTCACTGTGTTTTGCAATGCTGTCTTGTGCAGGGGGAAAGGTTGAGTCACGCCGTGGGCTGTGCATTTGCAGCGTGCCTGGAGCGAAAGCAGAAACGAGAGAAGGAGTGTGGAGTGACTGCCACCTTTGATGCCAGCAGAACCACATTCACTAGAGAGGGGTCATTCAGGGTCACTACAGCTACTGAACAAGCAGAGAGAGAGGAAATTATGAGACAGATGCCAGATGCTAAAGGTAAGGGATGCAGTTTAAGCAGTCATCTGCAGTGAGCAGAACCGGCACTGAGGCCTGCACGAGGACTGAAGCTTAGTAATGTCCTGACAGCATTCTCTCTCATGAACCTTACTCTGTTCTAATCGTATTCCCAGACCCTTGTCAGTTCACACGATAGAAAATGCTCCCAAATTCACTCAGTATTTTCCCACATCTTCTAGAAAATGTGTGAGTGGCTACATATGTGAATGCTGCTTCTGCTTTATTTTGTCAGGCTGCTTTATAGCAGAGAACACGGTAGGTACCATACTAAAAGTCCTTATTAGAAAATTGTTTGCCATACACAAGCTTGCCATACACAAAGTAATAATTTATGTAGTTTAATGCTTGTGGTAAATGAACTGAAAATTATATGCATTTTTCTTAGAAAATAATGTGTTTTTATCTTGATTTTTAAGGCAGGTTACAGAGTGTATGTATACAGCTGTACTGCATGAGGGAAGAACAGATCAATCACAGAGTGCTTTCCAAAAAAATTCCAGAATAACCACTCCCTCCCCATAAAACAAAAAAGTGTTGGACTATTAATTACATTCAAAATTAGTGACTAACTGATTTGAGAGGAGATAAAGTGTTCTGAAATTAGGTGAAAGTAGAACTTCTTACTCAAGTTTTATGACAAAGCCTGGAGTTCTACAGCTAACAAAAATTAAAATATTATAAATACTGTTTATAACCTGCTTCACAGTAAAGTCAGACTTTTGTTTCAGAGGGTTTCACAGCAAGTTTTATACTGCCCCTTGACTGTAAAACTTTAATCTTCATTTTCATCATCCATCTGCTTGTTTCCATACGTTAGTTTTCAGAATGTGCTAAATGAAGCTTAAACACAAGGCCTTTGTTACTTGAGGGCATGAGTCAAAGTCTTGACTCAATGAAGGTGTGTGAAATCCTTTTCAAGAAAGACTGATTAGAAAAGTTTCACTTGAATGAGCAGCTGCAACTCATGGGTACTGAAGCTTACAAGACAACATAATTAGTTCCTCCTACCATTCAAGCTCCTCAGAAATCTCAAGTCTGACTCCTCTCTTTACCAGACTTTTAGTTATTCTGCTGATGTGTCAAAAAAAAAAGTCATTGCTTTTTCTAAAATGTTTGGAAAACCATATAGGTGAAATGAGAGTTCATACCAGGATAGTCAGATTTCCTTTTGTCCTTCTGTGTTGATGGAGCTGTGTTTGTTGCCGCCAAAGCCAATCCATTTATGAGTGAAAAAGAGTTTTCCTAGAGATAGAAAAATCTCTCCATTGTAATTCTAATCATAAGTGTAATGATTTAAACAAATCTTAATCCTACATTTCTGCCATTAGGCCTGTCTGACAGTAGCACTGTGGTGCTATGCAAAGCCCTGCAAAATGAAGCATCTGACTTTATGTTGGAGGAGCTTCCACTGCAACTAACTCATGATTGAGTAGTAACATTGCAGCTACATTCAGTACAGAAGTGACGCAGGAACTCCTCACAAATGTGTCTGGTGTTAGCAAGGCCTGTCAGCTCAGAGGCTGAATCTGCCTTGCAGCACATTCCCCTCTACCTGTAATGTATTTCCTGGAGGAGCTGGGAGCTGCAGCCCAGCCTGTTAAGTGCTGCTGCTGCCTTTGGCCTGCAAGAGCTTGTGCAGTGTGTTTGGCTGCTGCTGCTGATTCTGCAGGGCTGGGAGGGTGGTTTTTAAAAGAAGGAGCTGCGTTCTGTTCCCTGCTGCTGCTAAATTGCTGCTAAATCACTTAGTACAGTTGGTAGTAATGTTTTGTCCATGGTTCTGTGTGAGGCAAAGTAAAGGTCTCAAATACACAATACATTTTTCAGTCTTAGCTATAAATGAATTACCTTGAGCTGGGATCTCAGGAGCAGCTAGAAAGAATACAGATGTGAGGCCATCTTTTTTAGGGAGTGGCTTGCCTTAGAAAGCTGTGGGGCTTGGGTATGTGTCAGGTGATGTGGTGAAGGCAGTGGAGGTATACAGAAATTGTGTTTCTGCTGTGCTATTAGAAACTCATTTGCAGGAGTACTAGTTACACAGATTTCTACAATTTCTCTTTTCAAAACAAATGGGAGTACAGGTAAGCAGCTGAACAGTGCTTTGCTTTACTCTTCTAACCTCACCCTGTTTCCTCCAGCAGTTGAAGCAGAAGTGAAAACAGTAGCACCAGGTGCTGCACCAAACAATACTGCCCCCTCTTCTGGCTCACCAACCTCTCCTACTGCTGAAGTTGCTGCCTCTCTGGATAAAGAAATGAGCAACCCCCACGCTATCCCACGGCGGCACGCTCCCATAGAACAGCTTGCCAGGCAAGGGTCTTTCAGGGGCTTCCCTGCCCTCAGCCAAAAGATGTCTCCTTTTAAACGCCAGCTGTCTTTGCGAATAAATGAGCTGCCTTCAACAGTGCAAAGGAAGACTGATTTCCCCATGAAAAACTCAGGTAAAACCAAATGGTTCCATTGAAACATTGCCTTTAATAGTCTCTTCCTTCTTTCTTTTCTGTGGCTTCAAGTAACTCCTTATTTTCTGGTAAATCCTTCTTCTGCCTCACGTTGATAATTTATAATGAACAAACATCACCATGACAGAAAATTTCTGCTTTGGGAATAGGCAAGAATTTCAAATGTGGGGTTCACATGCAGAAACAGTTTTAATTGCTATCTGAAGTACTGGAGCACAGCTTGAAGTGTTCCAGGAACGGGTGTTGGTGAATTAGCAGGTTTTGGCTCTTCCCTCTGAGTCAGTGAACCAGTTCTTCCACTTACTGTCAGTGCATCCTGAGATACAAATCCCTTCAAGGCCTTAACCACTTGTCTTGGGATCATGTGATGCTCTTCTCTAGCCTGTCCTTCTGCCTGTTTGAATTCTTTTTGAGAGCAATGAAATTGCTTTTCACGTTGCATTAAGAGAACCGATCTGTTTAGGTGGTACAGCTGGCTGTATCAATATTAACGTGGTACAGTTTTCACGTGATGATAGTGGGGTTTTCTAAAAGTCATCCCAACATAAACGCCTGAGATACTCATTACCTTGCATAATGTCCTTGAGTTCCCCTAGCTAGGTATCACCCTTCAGGCCAGCTGTACTCTCACTTGGCAACAGAGCTGGTTTTAGGGTTCTAAGCTTTGAAGTAAAAATTAGTGTGGCAAAGGCAAGCCCAACAAAAATACTTAGTCTGACTTCCTTCATGATCCTTGTAGTGACCTGTGCTTTAGGACCAGCACTGAGCCAATCAGCTTCACAGTAACAGTGCACTGCTCAGTAGTGATAGTCACTGAGCACACCACAATCTCAGTTTTTCATGATTCAGAACATTTGTGATGCATGTTCCCATATATGCCACTGCCAGTGCTGCTTACCGTCCCACTGCATGCACTGTATTGGAATATCCCTCAAAGAATCAATTTTTGGGCATGCCTCCCCCTGAATTTTAGATCTGATGCATGTTGTGTGCAGACATTTTATGTTTCTTACACTATTTTGTGCTTGATTATGCCTGCTCATGTCAGTTCTGTGCAATGACGGACTGATGATTGGTACTTTCGGAAAACGCTGCCATTAATAATAATGAGAACATCTGGTAAGCTGGCAGGTTTACTCCAGATGTTACATTATCCACATGGTACTGATGCTTAGTTTAAAACTGAGCATCCATTTTATCTGAGCATTCAGCTTTTGCTTTTATGATTCTAGCACAGGAACTGGGAATTTCAGCTACCATTGAACTGGGACAATCAACATAACTCTAGACTGAACTGCCACTGTGCACTACTGCCAGTGCATCTAAAGTTCATCTAGTTACTGTACAAATATGTTGTTGGAACACTTAAATCTATCATAAGTATTTTCATTTCACAGAATGCCAAATCTTAGAGCCAAAACCTTGAAAAGTTTAGCACTTTAAAGATTTAGATCTCTACTTAAGCTGTAGAAACCCCTTTTTATTGTCTGATACAAGCATCCTTCAAATCTGGAACAGTGATCTCCTTGTCCTCTTGACTTAAGCACAAAATACAATAATGTGGTGTTCAATTGTTCTATTTCAGGCCAGATCTTCAACACTAATGTAAAAAAAAAAAAAAAAAAAAAAAGCTGTCATGCAAATCAGTAGCAAGACCATGTAGGACATAAGAGAACTAATTATATTTCAGTTTCACATTGGTAGTTGTAAATTGTTTCTGTATCCTTTAAACTTTCAATTTAATGAATTCTGTTTACATTTTAGTCCCAGAGGTAGAAGGGGAAACAGACAGCATTAGTGCCCTGTGCTCTCAGATCACCAGTGCTTTCAGCACACCATCAGAAGATCCTTTCTCTTCGGCCCCCATGACAAAACCAGTGACAGTAGTTGCACCACAGTCTCCTGCCTTTCAAGGTTTGTGATTTCTTTGGGTGCTGGATGAGGCTTGAATGCACATAATGTTGCTTTCTAGTAACACACGGTCTTAATTTCTTGTGCAAGTCGTGCAAGTCCTGTTACCAGTATTTTGGGTGAATGCATCCTGCTTTATTCATCTTGTCTGTTTAATTTTTCTGTGGTTTTGTTTTTAACAATAAGTTCATGCACCTACCACACGATAGTTACCTCTAAAAGGGACTGGCTTTGAGGTAATGGCTATTTTATCATTCTGCCTCCTGAACTGCATAGGAGTGTGTCATAAGGAACCAAATCTTGCAAGTGAAGGGATTTTGTGCCACCACAATTACTGTTTTTCACACAAATTCTTAGATAAGGTGTGGAAAAATGCCAGCTATAGAACTCATAGCAGCCATTGGTATTCATTTCACTGCTGTGCTTTCATAGAAGTTGTGTGAAGAAAGAACCTCTCTATGTTAAATGTAGTTATTGTTACTTTGTATCCACAAAGTGTTCTTTTAAATCTAAAATTAACTGTACAATAACTACTGGTGAGCCGTATCTCTTCCTTATAGAACAACAAATTTAACTTCAGTCATCAAAATTCAAGGCCTCCTAACAGACATCAAAATCCACCATCCTATGATAATCTTAACAAGTGTTGGCTTGGTGAAATGAAATTTACTACCTTTATTGACTGTCAGTCCAGTTTGGCTAATTACACAAACTCCTGTCATGTGGAAGTGTCTAAAAGTGTTGTATGTTGATAGGTATGACCTGGCCCACTAATACTCCAGTCACGTGCATGCCTTGCATGAATTAATCACAGTGATGTTGTCTGCTCCCATTTTAGTTAATGGCACTGCCTCTGCCCTCTGTGTGCTTGCTGCTAAACCATCCCAAGCTGCTGTAGTGTCCACAGCTATGCCAGTTCGTGAAACCAATCCTTGGGCTCATGCTCCTGCTGCTAATACTGGAGCTGCAGCCATGGTCGCTGGTAAGACTGGAAGTAGATCCGGTGCATTGCTATAAGAACTTGGATCAAAAGCGTAATTGAGCCCCTGAGACAATTGTCAGTGCCACTTAATGGCAAGTGGAAGGAACAGGAACAAAAGCCGGAAGTAGTAGTGTTTTGCACGAGTGGATGGAGGGAAGCGATGAACTTGCTGGTGCTAGGTCTGTGACCTGGACTGATTCTTATTTTGGCAGCATTTTATAAAATCAGTGCTTAAAAAGGAAGTAATGAAGTTGTATGCAAGTTTGTGTGTATAAAAGGGAAAGAATCTATGTGTACCTAAAATAATTTTTGTGTGTTCTTTTCACTAATGTACATAAGGATTGTATGTATGTATGTACATAGGGATTAAGTTGGTTGCTTAAAGGCTTAGAGATTGATTTCTTCTGTTTAGTAAGTTTAGTCTGTCCCTCCAGGCCTTGTCTGCACTGTGTAAGGTGAAATGGTCACCCATGTGGGCACATGTGCTAGAAGGCTGCAATCTGAGTTACTTCATTTCATGGTGTAAGTGCCACTCCATGAGAGAAACTTCACTAGTGAAACAGTAGGTTCTGCTGGACCTTGTAAGAGCACCAGACTTTGTCTTTAGAACAGTTTCTTAGACCTTTGTGTTCCAAGTCCACCAGTCCTGCACCGTGCATTCAGAAACTAATACTCCCCAGTTAGGGGGATTAGTGATAATGGACTAGATGATTGCCACCAAATTGTGAGTGCAGACAGCAGCTTTCCTGCATTACCTGACGTTTTAGATGTCTGCTATGAAGAAAAAAACCCATAAATCTGCACTTTAGTGAAGAAGCTCTTATGTACCCCATCTTGACAAATGTCTTCCTAGAACAGAGCAGTACAATGGATGCATAAAGATGCTTCCAATGCATCTTTCAGTCATGTCAGGAAGAGGCCTGTGTGTTCTTGTGTACACCCTCCAGTCTTTTTAATCAATAAAAGGATGAGGAGTGGAAATATTAGTGACTTGCCCATGCTTTCCTTCCCAGGCACCGAATGGAGCAGCACCTCCTCAGGTGCGGCCTCACCAAGTCTCTTCCAAGGAAATCACAGACGTACTCCCTCAGAGGCAGACCGCTGGTTGGAAGAGGTATCAAAGACTGTCAGAGCCCAACAGCAGCCAACCTCAGCCCCAGCCCCACAGCCGCTGCTCCAGCCTCCTCCAGCAGCTCCAGCCTCCCAGTCAGCACCAGCCTTCCCAGTCAGCACCTTCATTGCGCCTCAGCCTGTGCCGGTGGGCGTGGTACCGCCCATGCAGCCAGCATTTATTCCAGCTCAGCCCTATGCTGTAGCAAATGGGATGACCTATGCAGCCCCAAGTGTCCCTGTGGTTGGGATCACACCTTCCCAGATGGTGGCCAACGTCTTTGGTACTGCCAGCCACACTCCAGCGGCCCACCCGCATCAGTCCCCCAGCCTGGTGAAGCAGCAGTCGGTCCCTCAGTACGAGAGCAGCAGCAGCAGCAGCGCCACTGCCAGCCCCTTCTTCCACCCGCCCGCGCAGCACAACGGCTCCGCCGCCTTCAACGGCGTGGAGGGCGGCAAGTGGGCTGCCGAGGACAGGCATTCGCAGCCCCCCGCGCCCGCCCCCCAGGTCGACCCCTTTGAGGCACAGTGGGCAGCCCTGGAGGGCAAGGCAAAGCAGCGCACCAACCCCTCGCCCACCAACCCCTTCTCCAGTGACCTACAGAAGACATTCGAGATCGAACTTTAAGCGGTCCTGTGGGGGGCAGATAAATTGTACATTAGGCTAGAGGGATAAAGGGAGCAGAGGGGACTGTTTCTGATCAGTAATCCCAACGCTCCCTTCAAACAAAAATGGGTTAGAAAGAGGGACCGATTATGGGGAGGATGGAAACACACAAGAGAATTTAATGTGCAGTTCTTAAAAGGAGTCCTGGAGCCACCCCAGTCTGCATTCCCTCCTCTCTTGGAAAGCTGGAAGTCAAATGGAGCGAAGAAAGGCACCCAGTCCCAAAGCCTGTTCTGCAGAAACATCAATCATCTCACAGAAAGGAAGGCAGATGTTTGTACCTGTGTCCTCCTGATGCCCTGCAAACCCTGGATGTTCCCCTCAGGGAAGAATTGGGTAGGGTGGGGGGTGGATACGGGTGGGATGTTGTCACCTTAGCAAAAGCTAGGTTTGTGGAAAAAGTTGAGCTTCCATTTTGAGTAACAAAGTGAATATTATATGTAAAGAATAAAGTAAAGCCAAAATCTTTATTTTTATGCATTTAGAATATTTTAAATAGTTGGATATTAAAAGCTGTATGAGTTGTAAGTAATCTTGCCAAAGGTTAAAAAACAAGGGGGTTGGATGTAAGAAATTGTACATAAGATTGATTTATCGCTGATTCTTATAGTAAGTAATATTGGGGGGGTGGAAAAAGGGGCTCTAGCTTGTTCTTGTATCTGTTCATTGTAAGTAGCATATTGCAACAACAATCACAACCAATAAGTCATTATATCGTAGTTTTAAATAAAGAAAATTAAAGAACAGTATTGTCATGGTTTGAAAACCATGGGGCGAATTAACTGTTTTTTATTGGAATCAGTCTACATATTCTATATAGTATGGATTTTTTTCCTTTCATATATTGCTGCAGTTTCTTTGTCTTAATCTATTGGTTCTAACACTACTGTGACAACTTACTGTCATCATATCTACATCCTGGGGCTGCCTGGGAAACCATTTTATGTTTGTCTGTCAATAGTTCTTAGGGGTTTTTAACTTCGGTTTTATTTTTTCCCACTGATTTGTGAAACCTTGTGGTTAAGGCTGCAGTCGGTCCAGGTTCTGCCTCTGGTGACTTGTGAAAACCATCTCATTTTAACTTTACTTTTAAACTTTGGCCTTACAAGCAAATGTAAGTTATATATATTTGTACTGATGATTTATAATCTGCTTTAACAGAAATAAATGTTGGTGGTAGAAGCACTGTCTGTGAGAGAATTATTTCCCATCTTAATTCAGTTTCAGCATTTGCCCTTCTGGGTATCTTCTGTCTTGTAAGATGGATGTGGATGAGCTGACCTAGCAGCTTAAGAATAATATCTTAACACCTCTCATTTTCTACAACCTGTTAGGTTGCATTGAACTTTCAAAATATCCTTGTAATGCATAAACACTTAAAGCTCTAAAATAGAGGCCTTTACTGAAAACATCAGATTCTGGCTTTACAGGGCTGTATTTTCTATCACTGAATACTTACAAAGAGACAATTCAGTAACATTCAGTAATGGCAAAAAGGAAAACTCTTTCTTTCCCCTATTATTAAAAAGAGCCATATGAGATGATGATGCACATTCACCTCTTTTCCCTTCTTCCAGTGAGTTGATATCTAACCTGTTAATTGTGATTTACCACATTCTTATGGACGCCACATCAGTTTGGACACAAGGAAGAAAATACGACTCCATAAGCTGAAGGGGAATAAACACGCCCTTTGTTAGCCCTCAGATTTGAACTTGCCAGCAGTTTCTATTTCCAGGCAAGTACAGTGAGTCTTACAGTCTAGAAAACTAAAACTTGTGACATTACAGATAATCTTACCTGTGTTCAGTATGGTATGAATAGTAATGCAAACACTCCCTGTAGGATTTGAGTTGGTGTCAATGCTTTTTTCAGCTTTCAGAACGCAAACAAGTATTTACAGACATTTATAGCAGGAAAGAAAGCAGTTAGTTATGTATCTTTCACAGTAAGGGCCCCAAGACCAAGCTGAAAATAGCCCAGTGTAGCTACACCCTTCTCCTGCCCTGGAGATAAGCACTTCCTATGACCCATTGTTTGGGGAAGAAAATGAACATCTTGCTTCTCACATAAAAAAAGTAAACCTTGAGTAGGTGATTAAGTGGTACTACAGAGAGGGAGAAGCTGATCTTGTCAGAAGAAATGCAAAGATCCTTTAGTTAACTTGGTGGCATGGATTTACAGCAGCGAGCTGCATGCCTGTCAATCCCACCCTTACTGCCATGGTTGTGCAGCTGAAAGGAGGTCAGCGTAAACGCTCCACTAGCCAAAGCACTTCCAGTGTTAAAGCCCTGACCATCATCGGGTAGGGGTCTGTTACAGCCCTCAGGAGTCTGGAGAAAGCACCTCCTGGCCTCATCTTACATAACCACAGAGTTTAAATGACAGCCGACTACACAGAATATTTAAATATTCTAAAAATAGACCCTCTGACATCTTAGAAAGGGATTTTATAGAACTGGTAACTTACTCTGGGGCAAAAGGGTCTGACACATCCACAATCCACTTCCAACCATGCTTCTGAGCAGAGCCTGACTACCCCTTGATGCCACATGCGGAACAGTGAGGGCTTCAAAATGACTGGAATTTACAGAGTCTCTGATTAGTCCCTGGTCTCCAAAGGCAAAAATCATATCACATACTAAAATGGTATAGCCTATACAGACACACAAAGAAAAAGGTGCTGGCCTGAGGTGTTAAATGGAAAAACATGTACAAACACAACTGGATATTTACAGAACCATCTCATTGTTCTTAAATATCAGTTATTTCAAACCTTATACTGTAATGCCTGCCCTGCAGTCCAGCAGAGGAAATTTCCCCCAATCAAATTAAAGGGTCTTAAATGCAAAATAAGTATTTTTGTCTTTCCTAGCAAACAGAATTTATCAGACCACAGAAGGACCCAACCCCAAATAGCTGTGACTGTCACCTGTCTCTCTTGTACTGGATTGCTTGTAGACTTTGCTGTTTGTTCACATCCTAGAGCAGTGTGTCCAGTCCTGAACCATACCTGTGCTGATGAGAGTGCAGTCATTAGGTCAGTGATTCTTATCTTTAGGTCCATGTGAACTGATTTACTGGGTTTAGAGTACAAACCAGTTCTAGGCTGTCAACCCTGGCACTTTACACTTGAGTTTTGCTGCTGCCCCGATGAGTCCTGAGTCAGGAGTGAAGGAGAGGAGAGTGATATGTGCACAGTGCTGATTTAGCTGCATTTCTTAAAAACCTTAAAGTAACACAAGTAGAAGACAAAAATAAAAAAAATCCCAATCCTCCAGTCCCCCAACCAAAATATCAACATCTACACACCAGTTTATACCTACATCTATTCAAATAATACATGGGTAATGTTGCTAATAATGATGATCCACCCATCCAAGTCTAGAATGAGGAAGAAGGGGACTGTCAAGGCTGATGCTAGGGTAGAACAGTAGTGTGGAGGCTGTAAAAAAATCCTTTTGCTCAAAAGTAATTCAATTTTGAGATACTGAAGATACCCAAGGCCTTTCCTGGTTTAACATGATATAATCATAATACAATCTCACCTCCCCAACCCTAATGGCTGAGATTTTCAGAGCCCCAGATGCACACTTGTTGCTACTCCATTTTGGTCTTGAAATTAAGGATGCTTTTTAACTACAGCTGCTCTGCATCTGGAAGTCCTAGCTTATTAGCCTGTAGTAGCAGGCATCAGCCCAGGACACATGCAGAGCCAGACTTCTCTGGCTTTAACTGAGACTAGAGCAGATCCTTGGCAGGTTTGTTCTGGCAAGTGAAATGCCCCTACACACATATTTCTGTGTGTTTATTATTAGCCCCTGCCCAAACTCAGCACATCAGAACAGCACAGTTCTGGCTCAGGAGAGAAAATTACCTGCTGAGCCTTCCTAGAATGAGTACTATTTAAACTGCAACATCTCAGAACAGGTAAGAGTATTGGTATATTCATCTAAATTACCCCAGTGCTCAGGAAGGGCTAAAAGTAGTTTTCTATTTTGTCTTAACTTTATGTGAAGCCTTACTGCCTTGCTTTTGCATTTCACTCCAAAGCTGATTGCAGTCAAGTAGAAACCAAACTGACCCTACTAGAAATTTGTCTAAGGTCTGCTGGATAAAACAGCTACAGTATCATGACATTACAATTGCATCCCGAGAGCCAGTAATCTCCTAGGACCTGAATGCTAATTTTATATGCATCAAGCTGTTTCTCATGGCCAGAGTTCTTTGCATTTAGATGGAAAGTGCTCCCCAGGAGTACTTGTTCAGCAATGCTCATTGGAGGAACAAATGTTCATGGCTCATTAATGCTTGAGTTGAAATGATTCAGGCCCATCTTCAAACACTTCAGAGATGTTTTTAAGAGCACTTCTCTAGTGCTTGTATGAAGAATTGGTCTCTCCCTCTTTCATGCTGGTCATCTGCCTTCTCTAGACACATCATCCTCACATGCCTACTATCATCTGGTTTCTGTGAATGACAGAATGACAGCAACTACTCTTAAGAGATGGATTAGGTACAGCAAGGCATACAGGGGAAAAGGAGTTTACAATAAACCTGAGGGTGGTGGGTCTCCCACCTTTGAGCATTTACACTCACTACACACTCTTCAATTCACCCTCCTGGGCTTTCCAGTAGGGCAGAGTTCCTAGAACTGTCCATGCAGTAAAAGAACAAGGTTGAGACCTCCAGTCTTGTCATTGGTCACTGTGTCCGTGGCGGTGGCTGTCACTCACCCGCGGGGGTGCGGGGGGCTGCCCTGGGAGCGGTGGCGAGCACAGCTGGCGCAGCAGAAGCTGGAATAGTACTCGTTACCACAGAGCTGGGCCTGCAGGATCAGGTCACAGTTGGCAAGGTGGGGCTGGTCCACACACTCTCTGCTCAGGTCCACAATGTGACTCACAGTAGCTGCAGCCAAGCAAAGGGTAAATCAGCTGTAAATTTATCCTCAGATTGCTATTCCCTCCCAAAAGACACAGCACTTTCCTGCTTCCTCCACCCCACCAGTTCTAAATTTAGTCCAACATCAAGAAGGAGATGATGAGTTTCAAGATGAAACAGACACCTCTGGTGAGATACAGGAGGAAAATGCAGTTTCCAGGGAGAGGAGGGACTATCTGTCCTCTAAGTAAAGATGGCTGGATGGTGTCCAAAGTCCAACTACAAATCATGCACCCATTTGGTCAAGCAACTATGGCATTTTGGCCTCAGGATTTAATTAGGCTCCCAATGCCCGATGCCCCCTGGTCTGGGAGTGTTTCCAGCATCCTGCTTTTCTGTCTGTGGAAAGCAGGGGTCCTGAGGCAGCACAACCCAGAGGCTCCTGCTGCTCCCCAAAGCCCAAGGCTGGTGCTGGACTGGCACACACAGTGGGTGCGATAGCAGCCAGGGCTGGGCACTGTGCTGGGAGAAGCAGGAAGGCTGGGCTGTACTCACTGCTAGGCCGGCTCCTCAGCACCTTCACCTCTGAGCTGGCGCTGACCGAGCTGCTGCTGCTGTAGGCGCTGCATGTGTAGGATCCCTCGTCAGCCTCTTGGACATTGCTTATAGTCAGGCTTCCATCCTGAGACAAGTGGATGTGGTGGCCATCCCCCCGCATGGGAACTCCGTTCCTGTGGTGAAAAACAAAATATTTCATTATTGCCACCCAGGGATGGTAAAGGAGCTCCCTGTGCTCTTTGGAAAATTATGTTCTGTGAAAGGAGTGAATTTTTACAAGTGCAGCAGGAAGGAAGAAATCTTTTTGCACAACCTGGCCCTGCAGTTGGGTGGTAACATGAGCCTGAGTCTGCATCCGTTGCCCGGTGTCTGCGTGGGAGGTAGCTGTGTCTGTGTGCTCTCTGCAAAGACACTGCCTGTTCTGCTAGCACACATTCTTGAGGTTTGAAGAACTAAGAGAAAATCCAATGTGCCTTTCCCTCTCTCCAGGTTGTGGTCTGGCAGTACTTGTTTGGCTGGCATTAATAGCAGCACATACTGCTTGATGAGCATATAGGGTAGTGAACAATTCGTCCTCTTCCCTCTCCCTTTAAAAGTTTGTTTAAAAAAACCAGCAAGATTGTGTCTGTTCAGTCCCTCCTGGAATAATCTGTGCCCAGCTGGAAAACTGCCTGAATTGTGAACTCCTGGTTACCAACAAAATGAAATTTGTTTCACTGAAAAGGGTTTCATTCCAACTCTGAAACATTTTGTTAGCTCAAATACCAAATTTATGTATAGAAGAAAAGCTCTGTGTGTGAGATGGCCCACTTCAGTCCTAACTCTTGTAATTTTAACATTTACCCATCCTTCTCTCTGGATAGTTTGTAAGAAGGCTCCAAAACATAAGTGATTATTTTCAAACCAGAAAAACAACCCTCACTAAACACTTGCACAAATTCAGAGTTTCCTGGTAAACTATAAAGATAAGAGGACACAGTTTTCACTTTAAAATGCTTCTAAATCTCCTTTTTTTGCATTGACAGTAAATGGACAGAACTGTTGCAACAGGAAGCTGGGAGAAGAGGTCTAAAATGTCTGTCACAATTAGGCAGAGAGGGTTTTTTAAAAAGCAACTAAAGCTTTTCCTCTGATTACTCATTTTAATTCTTGTTGTTTTCATGTAACTACTTTTCCAGCACAGAGCCCTTCTGAACTCCATGGAATCTTAGTTTCACATCTGATTTTCTCCTTATTTGGCTGGAACATGAACTTGATGACACCCCCACACCCCACAGGGATCTTGTCCAGGATTTTTGGGTAACATCCAAGTTGTCTTAAGAAAGGGTAGGTGATATTAGTTGGGGCTGAAAACTGTGGTCTCTGCCATACCTTGCAGGCATCCTGCATCAGTATTTGGAGGGTAAATGATGAGGTTTGGGAAGAGAAGGAAAGGGAAGTTCCATCTCATTTTTGCTCACCTTGACCACCTTATATTCACATTGTTGCCAATCACTGTACAGTGAAGCTGAGCAGTCCCTCCCTCAGGTACCGTGATGCTTGGCAGAAGACCAGTGATCCTCAGTTCTCCTGGACCAGAAGGGAAATCATCACTAGCAGGGAGACAATGCCTCCACCACCTGGGAGTAGGAGCATTCACTCATGGGAAAAGTCCAACACGTCCCATAACAAGCTACAAGCCCCTGGGCCTTGAAAGAGCACGTTTGAAGCTGTGCTGTTGTTGTTCTGAGGAATGTGGATTTCCTAGGACTTTGGCCCAAGAAAGGACAAGTAACAGAGGTCTCAAAGAACCTTTTCCTCCAGCTGGACACATGCATGTCACATGCACAGAAGAACCATCTCCTTAGTTTCTCTTGCTCCTATACTCATCCCACACCAGTGTCCCAGAAACAAGCTCTTACTGTGCTGTTAATCCCCTTTTCCCAGCTGCTTGGAGCACCATGATATACTGGACACATGCAGATGACCTCTGGGTAAAACAATTCATTTTCCCCTTGCCCTCAGGATGCCTGTTAAACTCTAGGTGTGAAGCAAAGTGGCACAGCCAGCAATGGAACTCATGCTGGCCCTGCACAGCCTTCCCCGCTTCCCGCTCCTGTGCACTCGAGCCGTGCGTGCTCCACCCAGCCAGTACCTAGCGGTCGGAGCAGGACCTGGCGCTGGTCGCGGTCTCGTCCATTGGAGGCCATGCAGGTGAAGAAGCCAATGTCTTCAGAGCTGACCCGGCTGATCACCAGGGCCCCATCCGACTGCTGCCTGTGCCTGGGGAGCAAAGCCAGCATGTCCCTCAGCCTGGGCTTGGGTCAGCATGGGACTCCAGCCAGCAGAGATGAAGCTAAGCCTCGTGCACCACTTTGTAGTACCACTGAGCAAAGGTTTAGCAGCTCAAATACTGCAGGGATTGTAATGCAAACTTTAGTCCTCAAATCCCAGCACTGATGCTATAAGACTGTAGAAAATCTTGCTGCTAGAGCAGATTTCTGGGAGCAGAGAGAGGGTAGAGCAGCACCAGTAGCTGTGGAAGGTCACTGCAGATGCCCTGATCTCTCTGCTGTGAACCTCTGCCCTTGCTCACTGACCAGCTGGTTTTTGAAAAATTTGTTAGCCATGTGTTCTTTTTCTGCTAATCTTGTAGCTGAATAAATTTGAGCTCTGGCTCACTTGTAGACCCTGTGTCACAGCTGTTCCCTCAAGGGTTCAACATTCAAACTTCCATCTGGGAGGGAGGGAGGACAGGGCAGGCCAGCAGTATGGCCTGGCCCTGACGGAGGAAGCTGGACAGCATTAAAGCCAGACAGACCCTTGCTGCATGGCCAACAGCTCTGATCTCTCAGAGAGGAGACAGGGAAGGAAAAGAAAGGAGGAGGCTCTTTTCATGAACGGTTCATGGAGCTGCCTGGGGGCTCACCTGGGAGAGGAGAGGGGCTGCCCGTCTTTCCGCCACTCAATGGTGAGAGCTGGTGATGCTTCCACTGTGCAGGGCAGTCTGACTCTCTCTCCAACATTGGCCTCCACTACTGTGGGCTCACTCTTATCCATTTTCAACCTGCAAAGTTTACAAGCACAGCAAAAGATGTGGAAACTTCCTTGCTCAGCATTTGATCTTCAGCACAAAGCTTTTATCAATCACAGGACTTATTTTTGCCTCCAATGGCAAAGGGAGTTCTCTGTACTCTCATGAGAGCTCTGATGCTTGCCATTACCAACATTCTCTCCTAACATTCAGAAAAGAGCAGGCTCTATAAAATCCGGATCTAGTTCAGCACAGCTTGGTGCTGCACCCGTGTCACCCAGCTTAATTTACAGACAACAACCCTTATAAAAACCCTCTGGATAACAGCTGAGGAAGCATTAACAATGTAGACACATGGCAACATGGCAAACAGTACAAAGTCCTAAAGAGGGCACTAAGCAAGCTTCCCCTTGGGTGCTTATCTGGCACAAAAAAAATGAGCCTTTTTAGGGTGTGAAGAGCCTGTTGCAATCCCCTGACTGCACAAGGTCCAGGAACTGGTCATCCACTACATGCAGCAGAAAGGTTGAGGTCATGTCCTCACAACACTCATCTCATGTTCTTTGCTCTCTTATAAGTACAGCTAAACACTGTCTTAGAAGGGAACTAAAACATGATGTTCCCACAGTTAAATAAAACTTCATCTACCCTACCCCCATTCTATGACCTGAATTCTTGATCTCAAAAAATAAAACCAAAGATCCTTAATTCAATGTTCTTAATTCAATGAATTGCTTATTACTGCTTTTAGGCAGAAGCAGCTAAGGAGATTGCTGCAGAGTTCAGCAAATTGGCTGGGTTTTAGGCTGTAAACTCAAAAAAAGAGAGGGATCAGATCATGGCCTTATTTAATCTAGAATCCCAACATGCTTCATTTAAGGCAAAAATAATTTGTCCCCCTTTATTTCTGTGGGGCCTAGAAGCAATTAAAAAACATGCAAGAAGCAACAAAAAATACCAGCATATGAGGAGACAATTTTGGGTCAAACTGGTTTGTTCACAAAACATTTAAAATTAATTAGTGGAGGCTGAAGGAGCTGAAGTTTTTTTCAATATACATATGTCTATTTTGTGCTAGTTAAGCAGCTCCTATTTGCTTTGCTTTTTTTCAGAACAGGTTTCTCTTTCTGCCTGCACTAACATGAACAGCTAAGGATGCTGCCTCAAGACTTCTTTTGTTTGAGCCCAGCTCCTTTGCTGCCAGCTTCCGTGTGCATCTTTGCCCAGAGTATGCTTCTTTCAAGAGATCCCTTGGGAGGACAGAAGACAGCCTGTGACTGGGATCTTCTCGTGTTCCCAGTGTCAGCAGTTCAGTACCGTATCCTTCCCAGCTGTGCCCTGGAACAGCTGACCTAGGGCCTTTCCAGTCTTTGGCTTTTCTACATGAAGAGATGCCATATGGTTCATCAGCTGGGCGCGGTTGGTGTGGGTGAGCCTACCTGTATGTGAGCTGCTGACGCACAGAGGAGCCGGCTGCCTGCACAAGCTGCCTGCCTCTGGATAACCCTCGGCGCTGCTGGTTTGCCTCCTGAAGGACTCGACCTCTCTCACCCTCAGCCAGAACACTGCTCTGGTACTCTATTCAAAACAAAATGCAATATGTGAATAAAAGGACACTTCTTACTGTGACCTCTTGCGTAGGGTTTCTGTGAGCTTGGGAGAGCTGATCTGGAGCCAAAGAGCCCTTCAGCCATCTGCTTTTTGGCTGACTAGTGCAGTAAACCTGCGCTGTCTACTAATGAGAGTCATAGACCTGCAGGCAAGCAATTTTAGACTCCTTTTTCTCCTCTGTCAGTGAATATGTTGCAACATCCCTTAGGCCATAGTGCCTTCTGCCCTATGTGCCATTGCTGTGACAAAACAGACTTCAGAGATTGAAGGTTACAGGGTGCCTTTCTGGCCCAGCTTTTGAGACTAGTCTTTCAGTTTTTTTGGTTTCTGAAATAAGGCACATTTTTCAGAACAGGGAATTATTTGTTACCCAGCAGGGTTGCCCTGTTTGGGCAAAGCACAAAACATAAATGCACCAGCAGTTATGTTTTGGATCAGGAGGCAGCTGATGGCTCCCAGGGAGGAAGACATGCTTGCTGTGATAGAAACAAGGTGAGTTACAGGCAAGCCACAACTCCACTTACGGGATGGCACTGCAGGGGAGAAAGTATTTTAGGGCTAAGGCTTTACCATGGCGCAACACCAAAAGAGGCCCTGCTGCCTCCATACTCCCTCTTGGCAGCAGAGGAAGTTTCCTCCTACAGCTGGCTTTATCGAGCCATTGATGGTCAGTAACTATTTATGAGGAGCCCTGAGTTACCTCTCTGGTCCTGGGCAGAAGATAAATTCACCTGTGATCTGCAGCTGAATCTGTCGGCTCTCCATCTTCCCATCAGAAGTGAGGCAGGTGTAGGTGCCAGCGTCCTCGGGCTGGACGTGGCTGATCACCAGGGAGCTGTCGGACTGGTAGGTGTGCCTGCAACACATGCGGGAGCGCTGCCTGCCCTGGCCACCCACAGCAACCCACCCGGGCACAGCGGCCAGCCCAGGCTGATGTCACGCAAACCACCCCCGTGTAGTGCCCTCCCTGGCTCAGAAAAAAACAAAATCCTGCAGACCACAGACGGGTCACAGGCAGGGGCAATAGCTTCAGCAGAAAGGAGGTCAGGAACAGAGAGAAAAACTGAAATGGAAAACAGGGAACTGCTTTCAGTAGCCCTCTCCCATAAAGAAGCAAACTGCCCTTCCAGGGGGGAGCTTGAGTCCCAGCAGTCAACTGCAAACAGAAAAGCATAATCGGGCTTTTCTTAACTGTGATTTTCATAACACAAAAAGACTAACTGGCTCCAGACAGACTTGCTGGAAACAGACTTCCCAGGAAAAACAGGTTTAAAAGTAGTTTAAAAAAAAAAAGTGCTAGAGATTTTCAGACAGAGGAACTCTGGGTTATTAGGCTGCAAGTTTCACCCCCAACTACTGGCTGTGTGTTGCCCCAAGATGAACCCGAGAGAAGCAATATTTTTCTGTATCACTACCCACTAGCTTCCACTAGTGCCTTCCACCAGTGTTATGGGACAGCACTTGCTCTGCCCCATAAGTCTAGCCTACATCTCATTACTGGTGTAGACTGTACCTGTTTCTGCTATGCACAGAACAGCTGGACAGTAGATGAATATGGGGGCTTCTTTATTTCTTTTTTTTAAAAAAGTGTGCTGGTTGTGGCTGGTATGGTGTTAATTTTCTTCACAGTAGCTGGTATGTGGCTGTGTTTTGGATTTGTGCTGAAAACAGTGTTGATGTTTTCACTACTGCTGAGAAGTGTTTACACCAAGTCAAGGCCTTTTCTGCTTTGCACCGCACCCACCATGGGCTGCAGGTACACAAGAAACTGGGAGGGAACACAGCTGGGACAGCTGACCCTGACAGATCACAGGGATATTCCATACCATATGGCATCATGCTCAGCATGTAAAGCTGGGGAAAGGAGGAGGAGGGAGGTGGCGGGGGGGTGGTGGGTTCGGAGTGATGGCATTTGTCTTCCCAAGTCACTGTTATGTGTGATGGGGCCCTGCTCTTCTGGAGACAGCTGAACACCTGCCTGCCCGTGGGAAGGGATGAATGAATCCCTTGTTTTGCTTTGCTTGTGCCCACGGCTTTTGTTTTATCTTTTAAACTGTCTTTATCTCCATGGATTTTCTCAGTTTTACCCTTCTGATTCTCTCTCCCATCCCACCAGGAGTGAGTGAGCAGCTCTGTGGAGCCGAGTTGCCAGCTGGGGTGAAGCCATGACAGTCTTTTTTGGCCTGAATATTTGGCACTCTGCCCAGCAAGGAGCCTGTCTGCTCTACAATGAAGGGATCTGAGCTCACCTGTCAGAGAAGATTGGTTGGCTGTTCTTCATCCACTCCACTCTGGAGAATGGGGACACACCTGTCTTGCAGACCAGCTGGATGTTTTGTCCCACAGCTGCTGTCACAAGAGAGGGCTTGGATTCCTCCAGGATTGTTCTGGAAGAGAAAGTGATTCCGCTGGCACTTTTGCTGCCCTCCTCACCTCTGTGTCCTCTCATGTGACTCTGGATGAGTTACAACCACAAGGCAAAGCAGGACCAGCTGCCCATTCAGCTTTGACCAGATGCACTGGACACTGTGGGGAGCCCTCTCCTATTACAGCAAAGACTACTCTGGACAGACTGAATGCTACAATATCTCCTGGAAGAAAGCCCTGTAACCCCTCTCTTCTGAAGGGACAAGGTACAGCTCCGCAGACAGATCCAGTGCAGATATGTTTAGATCTAGCTCTACTCACTCCTGATTTTCAGGGTAACACTGTCTGGATCTTGGCCCAAAGTCTGCATCTTAAAATTCTTTCCTAGAACAACCCACTGCTGCTTCATGTAGTGCTAAAATAAAGCCTCTGAAGCCAGAGTGTCAGCTAAATTTGTTGGTGAGAACAAGAAAAACACCTATGGATTCTCATATACAGTGTAAGAAGGCCTCCCAGACAGAGACCCCAGGATTCTTTTCACACTTTTCAGTGCTGTCAGAGATCAGGGAGTGTGTGAGGAAAGAGACGGCCGGTAATGGCAGGGCCTGAATAACAGTAGCTTGATTTACCAAGAGGCCACATGTGTAGCTAATCCATCACATGGTATTCCCAGTTAGTCCCAGCTGGGGCAACATTTTCACTCAAGAGAAAGCTGCACTGGTGCTTCACAATGAGCTGGCAGAACAGGGGGGAGGGGTGGGTGGAAATCATCACCTCTGCAGAGCTTGTGCTGGGAACAAATCTGCAGACTCCTGGTGCCCAAATCCTTCTGTCACAGAAACATCTGCTCCAAAAGCTTCACGCCACTGCTTGCCTTCCCAGGGCAGCACCTGCTGGCCACTGCTGCTCTGCCTGTCTGAGGGCCCAGGCATGGCTGTTTCCCAGGAATGCAGGTGGCCCAGGCTGTCCAGTCTGCTTCGCTGGGTGTCCCAGCGCTGGCTCTCCAGCACATCAGTCCTTGGCAAGGTCTCTGGCAGCACATCCCTCCTCCAGCTGTGGCTGTCTTGCTTGGGGAGTGAAGCCCCATAGGTTCTTCCTTCTTGGATGTGACTTGCAGTCTCTCTTGTGGGTGATTGCTGCTGATCCTGAGCACGTCCTGTGTAAGAACTGGAGCCAGTCTGCTGGTGTTGCAGGGCTTCTGTGCCAGGAGAGGGCTGGAGCTCCAGCTGACTGACTCCCACAGAGCTGTGGCACACTCTCATGCACTCCTCCTCCGAGGCAAAGCTGTTTTTATTGCCATGACAGCCACCATACCAAAACCGGTTGCATCTGCCAACAACTCCCACAAAGTACCAGCGAGTGGTCCAGTTGGCACAGGGGCCGTGGGCACTGGGCAGCAGGCACATGACAGGGTACGCTACCAAAAAGAGTGGAACAGAGAGAGATGTGAAAGTCACAAAGCACAAAGGTCCAGGGGCTTCAAGCCACCTACATAGATGATTTATCTGATGGCCCTGTGGGCAAAGGATGAGTTGGAAAGTAGGACACCTGGGTGTCCTACCCAACTGTGCTTTGAAACTGAGAAACTGCTCACATGTTTATTTTGGCCTCAGTTTTGCCTCTGATGGAAGAGCCATCCTCAGAGACATTTCTGAATCTAGATACTAGACAGATGTTTTACAGCCTTGTTTGGAGAATTCTGCAACTGCAAAGCAGGCTCTGGGTCATCCTCTCCTGCAAGGGACACATGACTGCCATTTGCACAAAGCAAGTGGTTTAGACCCAGCTGTGAAGTAGACTCATGCATTACAGAATACCCCTGCACACTGATATAAAGAGGAGCACAACCCAAGGTATCTACAGACCTGGAACCTCGGGTATCACAGCCACATGCTGACAAACACTGGATGCAGGGCTCTGGCTGTGATGTACTTTGTCAAGCTGTGGCTCAGCTGAAAGGATCCAGAAAGTTTTCCCCCTCCCCAAGGCTGCACCACAGGGATAGCCATCAAGTAATCTCTGTGCTGCAGCAGGAGGGCAAGGCCCTGCAGTAGCAATGTGCCTGCAGAGGGTACAGCTGGGCACTAAAGGAAAAGAGATGCTTTTGCCCAGCAGCCCTCATGTCCTCATAGCACAGCAGGCACTGTATTGAACTTTGCTGGCTAAGGGCATCCATGCAGCCCTGAGCAACCCTCCTTCCCCATGTAGTTCTCATTCCTCCCTTGTCCACAGGCTGTCTGAAAACTGAGCACTGCCCTGATTCCTCAGGAGATCCCTACTCCTTAACCTGAATAATTCATTTGGAGCACTCCAGGCTGCATTTGTCCTGTGTCTTCTCATGGACAAACAATTTCTGAGTAGTCCTACAGACTGACAGAGATCCCACAAACACACTTCTCTCTAACTATCAGCAGAGGACAAAAAGAATTTTTGCAGCAGCAAAAATTCTCAGGTGCTGCTTTTCTACACTCCCTCCAAGTTTCTGCTGCCCCAACCACCAGGTAGAAATTCTCTTCAGAGAGATTATTTACTACATTTCAGAGAGAGCAGACCCTCTACACAGGAAACTTCTATATGCTACTGGACTCTTTTTGTGTTTCCAACCCAATAAGTTAAAACATCACTTACGGTAGTTGGGCCTATTGAGACATCCTTCCCCTCGAGGACCTTTGGCTGAGGCAACATTGTCAAAACAGCAGCCGTACATGGAACCGCGGCACTCGCCCGAAGGGTGCTGCTGGGACAAGGCTTGGCTTGCCTTGGAGACAGGAATGGAAAGCCAAGAGTTATCTCACACATGAGGACAGCAACACATGCAAGGCACCGTGTGCAAGCTGTCAGCTGCACACAGCCAGCTGTTAGAGGCACCACTGTTTGCTTGTTTGCCTCCTAGAGGCTTTTGTCCTGGGAAGGGGTGGGAAACTTGACGGTCAGCCAAGGAGCTGGGGCTGCACTGCAAAACACACCTAAGCAGCCCAGCAGCACGCTAGTTCTTATTGCTGCCACCACCAAGCACCCCAGCCTATGGGAGGGATCACCTCCCCACCTTGAATTAATCTGCACAGTTGACAAACAAAAGCAATTAATAGAAGACATGCTTTTTCTTTTTTTTTTCCCTAGAAAATGGATAGCAATTTTCTGACTAACAGAAATTTGATTACTCAGGATTATTCAATCAGGTCTACATAGGATGGCCTTCTTCTTCTTAGACATCTCCCCACCACTTGCTTTGTACCCTGCTTGTAGAGGATTGCATGTGGATGCTTCAGACTGAACAGGAGCAAGATGGGCCAAAGGGGTTGACATGCCCCGAATATTGGCTCCTCAGCATTACTGGCAGAGATGAAGCCCAACAGAATCCACACTGTGAGTCAGCAGGGTCAAATCTGAATCTTCATATCTGATCAACTCCTAAAATGCAAAGAGCTTTTGTACTTACTGCTGGAGTGGTCACAGTGGGATGATTTTGTCTTGTTCGAATGTTCGAATATTGTGGGCATCCAATGTTGTTTGGACCCTGGGCAGCTGATACTCCATCGGGGCAGCAGCCATACCTACAGACAGAAGGGCTGCAGTAACACCTGACCTGCTTGGTCAACAGGCATGGGCTACAATGCCCTTCGGGAAGGGCATTGCCAGGAAAGACAATGCCTCCCTGCTCAGGCCTATCTACCTTGAGCTACCTGTTTTGGTGGCAGGTGCTGAAAGGGCAGCCTCTCCCCTGAGGGCCCGACGCTGCAGTGCGCCCATCTGGACAGCAGCCATGTGGGCTCTGGTGGCAGTCCTGGGAGCCAGTCCCTGCAGGGTGATCCTGAGAGAAGCTGAGCCGATGGGAACCTGGGGAGCGGGACTGGGACTCCCAGTGGACAGCAAACAAGTTGATGCTGTGGTCTTTGGTAGATGGAATGTGCTGATTCCCTGAGGCACTATGGATCATGGTGTTCCCAGGGAGCATCCTTCCATCATCAGAATCTGGGGAGAGAACTCAAAGTATGCAGGTGAGCATAAAAATCTGGTCAGCTTTCCTCCTATCTGCTCTCTTTCACCTGCCCAAGGCTACCTGGCAGGATTTTCTGCATCACATCAAGGGGTGTCTTCTGGTCCACCCTTCCTGATCTGGCTGAGGTACTTTGCTCATTGCCTTGACCATTCTTCCTGCTGTCCCATGAGAAACCACACTGCTGTGGTCCCTTCGCATCATCCTTTCTCATTCCTATGATCTGCTTTGTGCATCATTTCTTCCAGCCAGCACTGAAGTCATGCTGACAGAACCTGGGATCTCTATCCTGTACAGAATTTTCTGCTTGGATAGATTCAAATACTGTTCACCATTGGTGTAAAAGAATATACATTTTGTGCCTGGCTCCTTGAGTTTCTAGGAGCCCATAAAAAAAAAAAAAAGAGAGAAATGAACAAAAGAATGATCCCTCTCCCTGCCACAGCCTATTCCAAGTACCCCATCATCAGACCCCAAATTAAACAAAATTCTTCCAAACCTGGAGCAGGGCTGTTTGGGTTGTACCGTGTCAGCAAGGACTGGCGAGTGATGTTGTATCCCATAGTGTCCTGCATACTGGGGACCTCTGCAAAGAGACAGACACAAAATGGGTGCAGTTGGTCCAGCACTGTGCTCTAATAATTGCAAATACATCCAGCAGTCAGCAGGAGACAAAAGTTGATGAAAATGTTCCTGTTCCTCTTGTGAAATAGCTGCTGAGCAGCAATTGGATTTGATTGGATTGTCAGGACAAGCGACCTACAATGGGCAGGCAGACAAATGTCAGCGTTGCAGCTCTGACATAGAGAATAGACACAGACAAGAAGCAAAATGTTCTGAAAATTTGACTCCTTTAGAGCCTGTCCACAGAGGGATGAGAGCTGGCTATAGCTTTTTTGCTACTGAGCCTACCCAAGTTACCATCCTTCTGGACTGGGAGTCCTGAGATCAGTCTGCAGCACACTCTGGATGAGCCATTATAGAATGCTGGATTCAAAATGGACACACACCAACACACAATGTTGTTCCCAAGCCTGTTGCATACATTACAAATAGCACAGGTACTGGGACTCTGAAGATGCTTTGTGCACATAAACTTGGCAAAATCACAGGATGAAGACAGGCAGGCAAAAAGCTGAGAACATAAGCTGGTGCAGAGCTGGGAATTTCTACTCCTAAGCAAAAGCATGTTGGAAAAAGCTGGGTGTGCAGCAATACCACTCACGCTGTGGCAGGTAGCAGGGCTGTGTGTTGCAGCTACCCAGGGTGGCTGGTTTCTGTGGCTGGATGGCTTTGCATGTCTCAGGACTGTAGAATTTGGAGTCGCCGTCAGCACAGATGACCTGGCGTGTCCGGATGCCTGAGTCGCAACTCTTGGAACACTTGGGCACAGAGATAAGGCACTGAGCAGGCAGCAAAGGCTGAATGCAGAAGCCCCACAGATCAGAAATGGGGAACAGCTGCATGATTAGCTGCAGGCTGAGCACAGCTCCTCCACCAAGAAATAGCAAACAATATTCCAGCTGGAATCATCTGAACAATTAGAAAACCATACTTTAAACAATTTTACCAGATGTTCCACCCAACCCTGAAGCATTAGGCTCTGTGCCACACTCAGCCTGTAGCTGAGTGCTACAGATGAGCTGCTGTTACCCACAGTGGTGTGTCAGGGAGCTGGAGAGACTCATTTTAGCCTGAAGGCATAAAGGCATCTCAGTTCTCTGGGGATCTACCAGCTGGGGTCAGTTTGCATTCAAGAACAACAAATTACAACTAGAAAGAAAATGAGTGGCTTAGTAAGCAGCCTAATTGGAGTAAGCAGCTAATGGGAGTTTGCTTCACTGGAAACTGTGGATGAGAGGGACCAGCAGGTCAGAGGAGTGTCTGTGCAACCCACACGGCACATGGCAAGCTCTATGAACATTAGGAGAGTATTCCTCTCTAATTCAAAGACGCAGATAGGAGACCTTCTGATATCAGAAAGTCAGGAGAAAGATCAGATTAAAATGTGATTCTTTAGCTGTAACTAAAACTTGGCCTATATCTCATGAAGAAGCATATGTAACATGCTTTAGCTCAAAACAAGCTGGCCTGCCAAGCACAGAAGTGAAAAAGTGTGTTTGGAGTCACCTGATGCATTAGATCTACCTGTATGTGTACCCCCTGATACTTTTTCCAGGTTGAAGACAGTCTGGCTTCCACCACAAAGACAGGATTAATCCGTCTGAAGCACAGTTTATCTGAATCATTACAAAAATGTACTTTAAAGCATATCACCAAATTCAACTATTCATTACTAGTTCTGAAGCCTAGAGCTCTGTGCCAAACTTGGGCTGAGAGCTGTTCTGCTGATCACAGCAATGGAGCGAAGAATTGAGAAGAAGCAGCAAGAGTGGATTATTTCAATTTATTGGCTGAATTTTGCCACTGTCACTGAAACAATAATCTCCCCTCAGAAGGATTTATTTTTGTAGCAGCTGCACACAAAGCGGGCATCAGATTAACTGGAGCATTACTAGTGCCAGTTACAACACAACTGTGAGCCAAGGGGCTGGTAGTGAAGCAGTTCTTGCTTTCCAGTCTCAGTCAATGTGCGGACTGCATGGATCAAAGCTTGTTTGTGAGGAGTATAGCAATACAAGAAATTTTGGAGCCATGACAGCGAGGTGCTCACCAGACCCCAGTCTCCAACGTGCCAGCCGATTTCCTGGATGCAGTTCTCCTTAAGGCAGGGCTGGGTGGCTGATGGCTTTGGCTCCATTAGACAAGCGAAGTCCTGAGCCTGAGAGCCCTGCTGCGTCCTGCAGGTGACAGTCCGGGTCTGCACTCCTTCCCCACAGCTGGCTGAGCACTGCAGGAAGGGGCCCAACAATTACAAAGAAGCACCTGGTTTCCTCTCACAATTCCAGGCTGGACTCCCTATCATTAGAGCAGAGTACCATTTTGAGACTGTCTGAAACAATCAGCTATCATTAAAGTAATTTTCTGGGGTGGGAGTTAGCAGAGTAGCTGTTTATGCTGTAGAGGAGACAATAAGGCATGGAAACATGGGATAGGATCTGGGAGATATGGAGCTCACTGGATGATTTTGGCCTATTCATACACTTACTCTTGATTTCTCACCAAAGGAGATGTGGATGATGAATTTAGAAAAATATCAGAAAAATTCCAGACACTGCAAAACACATTGAGAACAAAACATGGTAGAAAATATCTGGAAACTTGTTATTTACATCTGATTAAAACCAATGCAAGGTGAAGAATTTTAGGGAAGGTAAAAGGTTAAATTCTTATGTTGCTCATATCTTTTGCTTGAAGACCTTGTGCTCTATTTTTACAGCATGGAGCTGTGACAACTTCTATACCAGTAACTAGTTTGTGACATTTCCAACGCCCTCCTAAATTCACAGTGGTGTTTCCTGGTATCCAACCTACTTCTACATGAATTACCAAGGTGTCTTTCAGAAAGCATTAACTTGGGGACAGTCTGAATCATTTCAGATGAGCTTCCTAGCCGAGTTTCAGCCATTCATTTAGCAGAGTAACCTTTTTAACTCAGAGTACACAAAACACAGTTACTTCTGAGAACATTGGAATGAATTACTCAGGCATCAGTTTATAAGAATATGATTCTTGGTGCCTTTCCCAAACAGCACTCTTACTCCACAACCCCAAAGTCACACCTCACATCTCACAAGGTGGGGGGAAAGAGGGGGTGGAAGCACTTTCCAGTCTAGGTGATCATGCCTCAAAGTTGCATTTTGTGCTGTTGCACAACTCAGACAGTCTAAGTGCAACCACAAGATTGCAAATCAAATGTTGCAAGCATGCGTGTACTTCTGATAGAGGAAAATTCACTTGTTCTTTAGGGACTGAGTAGACATTCTCTTTACTTTCTAAGCCCTTGGAACGTAAGATGCCTTCTAAAAGCTGTCTGGCTGAATTGAGTGCACACAGTTTGAGCTGTTTCCACTCCTGCAGATATAAATGCACACAAGCATAAAAAATGCACCACATGGCTGTGTTTGGAGAAGCCCTGTGCAGACACACAGCAAATAGCAGGTCACTAGTGTTTCAAGAGTATTGCTGTCCTGGCTGGTGATGCAAGGCAGCAAAATACATGGAAATAACTAGCACAAGCAGAAGCCATGAGCTCTTGTTTCACAGAGGAGGGTGTGCTACATCCCATCCTCAGCTGATGGACAGAAACTCTCCTTCTGGTGCTCTGCCTTCACCGGGCCTGGCTGCTGAAGAAACCAAGCCAGTGCCAGGTGCGGGGGAGAGGGGTCTGATAACAACACAGCAATGGAGAAAGGATTGGCAGATCAGAGAAGAGAGAATGTGCAACGAGAAGAGCAGAGATGCAGGGACATGCACAGTTTTGAGGAACAGGGATGTTCATAGGAGGGCATCAGAGGGCTGCAGGGAGAAGTTCTACACCTCTGCACGCCACCTATCCAGGGACACACTTTTTGTTGTCTCAGAAGAGGAGCCTGGCTCTTTCTCCCTAAGCTTTGGCAGATCCTCCTGCAGGAGGTGCCAGGAGGCTGTTACCTGCCTGGGGCACTGACCTGGGACCAGGGCCCTGTGCTCCAGCTGGCACACTGCCGGACGTTGCAGGGCTGGCTGCGGCGCGGCTGCTGGGCGAAGGCCATGCACTCGGCATCATCCACCACCCCCTGCAGGCTCTGGCCGTCAAACGCCACGCAGTACACCGAGCGGGTCTGGGTGCCCCCGCCACAGGTGGCTGAGCAGGATCCCCACTCTCCTGTTTTCCAGCTGCAGGTCACAGAATCAAGTACAAAAAAAAAAAAAAAAAAAAAAAAAAAAAAAAAAAAAAAAAAAAAAAAAAAAAAAAAAGTAAGCCCAGCCAAATTGCCCAGAGGCACAGAGGAGTCAGTGCCACATCCCTGTAGAAGTCAAACAGGGATGATGTCCCTTTGCAGAATAGAATCAGAGGCGAGTTCCCATTTGACCAAGCATGCCCAGTTTAATTTGCAATGCAGAGCATTAGTCCTACTCCAGAGACATATCTCCAGCTACAAAACACTTGTTTCTCTGGAAATGCAGAGCTCTCCCAGAAGGGGAAGATCTCTCTCCATGGCTTTTGATCTCCTGATGCCTGCAAAAATGTCATGCCTGAAATAGAACATTAAAAAAAAAGCTCAAAGAAAACAATCCAGATCAGCCAAAAGAAAAGCTACCACAACAGCCTAAACCACACATTACACTCCAGACATTATCAGAAACAGTAGAACCAAGCCAAGTCCTCACTCTGTCCGCAAACCATGCCAGACACTCTCAGAAGTGCTTAACTTTTCACTGATGGCCAGTAGAAAGCTGGTTTAATCCTCCCATCAGTCAAATTCTATAACTGCAACACATACAAAAACCCACAAAAATATAAATAGATTTTTTCCTGTCTTTGGTTGCTGAAGCTGCTGCAGAAATTATACATCCTTGCTAACAAGGGGAATGTCCACAAAACAATCTGTCTAGATACTAAAATCTCTGCCCATGGCCACCCCAGCTTCTCAGAGCTAGCTGGGTAGCTCGAACCACACCTTGCATGGCCTGGCTTCAGGGACAATATGATGTTTCATCCCCAAATTCAGCATGCAGTGTAGTCCAAAGGCACTGGTTGTGGAGGGGGAGCATCATGGTGATCTGCTTTCCATCTGCTATGTCCCCTTGCAGCCAGGTAAGACCCAGCCAGGGAATGAAAGCAGATAATGTTTTCTCCCCCAGAATTCCAGCTACTTCCCTAGCCTGGCTCTTGCCACCCCTTAACCAAGTTTCAGCCAGACAATTCACATTCACATCCTAACAGGATTCCACAGTAGACTCTGTCATGGCCAGCTCCTAAAAGCACCCTTCTTTATTGTTAAAGATGCACATGTCAACCCAAAACTGATTGGCCTTCACTATAAAATCTTTCCTTTGGAAAGGGAACAAATATATTCAATAGAAGCCATTTACAATGGTGTGGTTTCAGGGCTTATAACAAATTATTCATCAAGTTTTTCAAAAGCTCCAATGGGAGCTTTCCCCCCAACTACTGTATTCTGCCTCCTGTAAAGCAAATGCATGGTTTTGGAAAGGCTGTATCAACCAGATGTATCAACCACAGCTTCCTTCATTGCGGATCAAGACTTCTCTGACCCTTGTTTCATTTCCTGTGTAAGACAAGGTCAATCATAAGGCTGGGACCCTCATCAGAGGGCAAAAATTGCCAGTCCTAAGCAATTAGCAGCTTGCTGGGGGACAACTGTTTTTCTTTTGATACTTTTAAGTTCTCATATCTCAGTGTAGATTATTGTATCTATCACATCCTTGTACTCATCACATCTTACATGCTCTTTTCTGCCTGCTGTAGGGCTCATGCCAAAAAAGAAGAGCTTTTAAGAAACTCTGAGTCTTTCTCTATGCCATGCTGGCCAATGTTACAATTGCCCAAATGATCATGCTCTCTTTTCCTTTATGGTCTTTCCTTTATCTTCATAAGTAAATAATAATTAAAAAAAAACCCACCAAACAACAAACCAAAAAACTTCCAGAACTTCTTTACCCTGATTCCAGAGAAAACAAGAATAAGCAGCCAGAAGCTATGAAGAAATCATCTTTTTCTCAGTCCCCTAAGAATCAAGTTACCAGGGGCATGTGCAGCCACCTAAGCAAAGCTGCCAGCCAGCACCCTCCACCACCATTTTCACTGGCAAGCATCAAAAGCAAAGCAACACCCATTTCTACCACCAGTGCCGAAAAGGAAAGCCCCCATGGATTTCAGTGAACAACTAAGTGGAGAGCAGAAGAGAGCAGCTGCCTTCCTGTGCTTTCTGTAACTTCCTTCTGCTTGTTACCTCTTCATCTGAGAGCTTCGTGCGCCGCTGCGACTCCAGGCTTGCGGCAGGTAGATGTAAGAAGTCCTTTATATACAGAACAAAGGTTTTAAAGAACTTAAACCAAGTAGCTACAGATTAACATGTATTCAGAAATGCTCCCAGGTGGCCTCTCACGCACATAGTGCTCTCAGAGGCCTTCACTGTACACAGATACACAGCTAATGCTCATGTTACAGCTCTGGATGTCCAGTAAGAGCCAAGTGAAGCCAGATCTAAGAAACAAGGTGGAAATGGTGGGGTGAAGGGGTTTTAAAATGCTGGAGAATGAAAAGACTCCAGGATTCATCCCTTTCTAAGGGAACAGACACTGGGAATGCAGAAATGACATCAGCTCAGACCTTCCACTCTGTAGGCTCCAGACCAAGAGAAGAAAAACCAGAGAATCTACTTCATATCTCCTACATGGGCTAGACAATGGTCTTCCACAATGCTATTTTGGAAGGCAAATTTAATTGGTCTATAAAATGAACACAGGATGTATTAAGCCCTTTTCTTATGCATACAGAAATGCTCATCACTCATCACTGTGTTATCATCCCCATCTTTTGTCTTTGCCTTTCTCTTAGAAGTGAAGCACCTCCTTGGAGAGAACCATGCTGGAGGGCAGAAGTGAGAGGGTCACGTTTTTCTTGGTTCCAAAAGCACCTCAGGAAGAAGTCAGACCCCAGAAGAAGGAAAGAAATAGTACCGTTTTGTCTGGGGACAAGGCTGATGACCACACGTCCGGTTGTTGTCTGGTTGTGGTTTATTCCTGCACATATAGTCTGGATAAATTTCATTGTCTATGGTACAAAACACCAAGCGGGATTGGAAACCTAGGGGACAAGCAAGAGAGCATCTGATCAACACAAGCCACCAAGGACTAGGCTAGCAATACACTGGGGTTGGAAAGACAAGTTTCTGAAGTTGTGTAGAATCCACACCTGTACTAGCCATTCTGGAAAAGAGACAGGTGCAGGTCTCTGTCTCTCACTATATGGACAAATGATGCCTTCCCACAGGAGTCTGCTGGAAGAGCAAGGGAGACAGCACAGTTCTGTGTAACTGAGGGGAATTTTCCTGCTATATTATGGATCAAGACTCACAAGGGGAGTGCCCTACCCCTAAGCTGCTCACGAAGGAGCCCTGCAAGATGTGTGCAGTGTACAGCAGAACTGGGGGTCTCCTGTTAGACTCAAAAGGTCAGTCTTGTGAGGACTGGATATGGGAGTAAAACTTACAACTCTTCATGCTTCCTACAGGTTATGAGTGCCCATCCAAAGACAATTTTGCACTTACAGTCACAATATGGCAAAAGCTGCCAAAATGGCCATTAGGATGGAAGCCCAGAAGAGGCTGATAAGAACTCTGTATACTCTATAAACCTCAGCTGGTGAGGGTTTTTTGTTTGATTGATTGAAGTTTTTTGTTTTTCTTTAGAGCTTAAAATCCATAATGTTGCTCATGGAGAAATCTGTAAACTGAATATGATGGGACACCCCAGGAGATCTGACAGTCCTTTTTGAGGGGGGGGATCTTCCAGGCTATGGCAGAGGAGAATGATGTGATTCACTAATGTAGGCCATTACATTAGTGAATGGCCTACATTCACTGTAGGACCTCTGGAGAGGACCTCTCAGGTGGCTGAAAAGACTATGAAGACCTGAAGCAAATCAAAACAAATGCTATCTATGAAGATTCTTAACAGGTCCTAGTAATAAGTCTGAGGACTAGGGAATGGAAAATAAGAAGAAGGCATGGACCACAATCCTGTTGTGACACCATGCTTGACTTTCCCTTGACAAAACCTTAGCAACACTCTGGATCCCTGTGCTGCTTTCTAGCAGGAGACTACTGGGAAGCTGCTGCAGAGGGCAGCACACTGTCACACTGCCTGTAGGGTGTGGATATAAACCCCACACCAGCCACCAGGGATCAAGTCCTCTCCCCTTACCTCCGCCACATTCAGAGCTGCACTCACTCCAGGAACCGTAGCTCCAGCTGTAACCCAAGGCCTGTCCTTGCAGGGGCAGGTAATACTCATATTGCACCCCGGTGTTTGGCTCCTGGCTGATGAGCTGCAAAACCATGGGAGGAAATCAGTGAAATTACACTTTTCCTTTTCACAGCATTTCCCCACTATGTCTGAGGGTTCCAGCTGACTTGCACCTCTCCCATTCAAGAAGCACTACTTCTCTGCATTGGATTTTCTCCATGCCTTCCATCATATTCTGGAGAACATTATTTTTCAGAGAAGGGTGTATTCATCCCTCTTGGCTTTAGAAATCCAGCTGCTCCTGTCACAGCAAGTACATTTCCTGCCCTACAGCACATCATAACAAGAAGTGTCCTGGAGACTGTCCCTGCTCCAACACCATTTGGTGCTGACTCTTGCCTCCCCTAAAGTCAACACCCAAAGGAATAGGCAGGAAACCAATACTGAGCTTTGCACTGCTTATTTCTGGGCAATAGAACCAGAACAACAATAAGTGCTATTTCTGTGGTCTAGCTTGAAGGCCCACAACCTTGTAAGATTCCTGGGGTCCCCGTCACATCTCCAGTTTTTCCCAGCATACTCTCACCATGCAAAGCGAGAGCAGAGTGTCAGTGGGGGAAGGCACAGCCTCTCACCTCAATGACGAGGGGTTCTGTGGTGGGACCCCGGGCATGGAGGAGCTCTGGGGCCACATCACCCTCCGAGCCACGGTCATAGTGCAGCACCGTGCTGGCCACCTGCAGCGCCCGGCTGAAGTCAATCGTCCAGTGCCCATTCAGGTAATACTCCCCTCGCACGTTCTTGACAGCTGGACAAACCCACATGCCAGAGAAAGGATCATAAGAACTCCACAAGGTTGCTCCTGTTTCCACTCAATACTGCGTCACACACACAAATGAGAGTGACCACCATCCTCCATCATTGCTGTCCTTCCTGTATGGCTTTTTTAGCAGAAGCTGCTCCACATTCACACAGTGGCTCTTGCCAGCTTTGCTGCAGATGAAGCACTTTTTTGCTGCACAGCCAAATGCCTCCAGCATATTCTTGCCCTGCCTCTGCATTCCCCACTGTTAGTTGCTGGAGCACAGCCGATGTCAGCCTCTGTCCTTCCTACCATTAAGATGTGGGATTCACACTCCACTGACTTTACATCACTATCTGGTTCATCAGATACTCTATTCAGAAAGCAAGATATGTGCTGAATCCAGTTTTCTACTAAGGAAAACATCACCAGACTGATTTGTCCTAAACACTCAGTGATGGAACACTCAGGAAGCAGAAGAGTATTTGCTTTCTCCACTGGAATTTCCTCAGCCCTGTCCAGAAAGCTAGGCAAGGCCTTTTCTCCCTCATTTTTCCCTCTACAGAATGACCAGAGTTTGAGGCTGTACAAATGCCCCAAAGAAATCTATGGTGAAAAGAAGCCCACCCCAAACTTCTAGATGGCAGGAGTAGGTAGGGTTTGCATTCACCAAACAGACCTCTAGCCAAATTTGGCTAGATCAGCTAGATTCCTTGTAAGCTACAGGCAGGAAGTCTCAATGGGATTTGCGTATTTTTATTCCACACCCAACACCAAGATCTCCACAGGACAGAAAATGAAGTAAATGTGAAGACCAGAGTTGTGCATCATTCACATTTCAAGGATACTCAATATCCTGATATTCAGTTTTTCACTCTGCCATATCAAGCCCTCAAGGTAAACCCATACCTTAAAACCAGATTTTAACATAATGGCTGGAATCCAAATGAACTGATATACAGATTCTGACATCATTCATACCTAGGAAGTTCCTGCTGGGCTTAACCTCCTTAATTTGGATGTTTGTGGCTCCCACAGGGATAATAAAGATTTGATTGTAACCTGAAAAAAAAGGGGATTATTCAATATCTGACTGTGGGTGCCATACAGCCACTCCTCTGTGCCAAAGATGCTCATGGCTTAATTTGTGCCTGAACAACTAGATGAGCTTTTTGATGGTGACATAAAGCATTTCCATTATCACTTTAACTGCATGCTGAATAACGTCACCCTACATTATCCACAGATCAGTCCACATGTGAAAAATTCCAATGACACCTCAGAGAAGTCCATTTGCTACATTTTGAAATCTTTGGAATTTCAGAAAGAATTATATTGGAGTTCAACATAGAGAGATGCAACCACAAGTGCAGTTGACATCTTGAAATTTTTCAAAATTGGCCAAATGCAGAAGATGCAATCCCATTTCTAGTCCTGCACATGTCCTGGTGGGGCTACCAAAACACTTGACAGCCTCACAAAGGCAGTGTGTGGTGATGTTATTATGGTGCATTTACAGCATGTGCTGGAGAGGGATTGGGGAAAGACATCAGCCTCATGGCAAGTACTCCATTGTGGACACAGATTAATGAAGTGATTCCCAGGATAAAGCCAAGAGTACCTTTTCTGATGCTATGGCCACACACTGTACAGATATTTCAAGTGAACATCCAAGCATGCCTATAAAAATCATGTGAGCAGGTGTCCCCACCAGCCCTTGTAGCAGTTGATTTTTGGTTTAACTCTCTCCCTCTCACCTGCCCAAACTACCTAGGATCATCTGTACCTTTGGGGAGGCTGGCCACATCAAAAGTGCCCTTCACACCATAGCAGGTGCTGCCATCTCCTCCACACTGCAGACACTTGTCCTCCTTCTTGGCAGATTCCAGCATATTATCACAGCCAACAGCCTGTCAGAGCACAGGAGCATTAATAGGAATAAACTGTGATGACAGAGAGGAAAAAAAAGGCCAAATGTGGGACAGATCTATTGAGAAAGCCTGAATCTAGGGAGCCCAGAAAGTCAGGAGAGGGCAGAGAAAATGTTATTTACTATTTCACAGCCAGAGCCAGATAAATGCTATCCAGATACTCCTCTGCACCTTGAAACTGAGTGATTCATCTTTTCTGATGCTATGATGAAAGGACAAGTAGAACAAAGGGAGACAACAGAAAGACTGACAGACCCAATGATGAATGAAGGAGTATCAAGATGACTAACCTGACAAACTCCCTCTACACAGATATCTCGTTTGCCAGGTTCACAGGTAGTCCCATCTACCACTGCTTCCTTGTGCCTGTAGTAGAAGTTTTCTCCCTTGGGAATACAGTTTAACTCACACTTATTAGGTGCTGTCAGGAGAGAAAAAAGAAACATTATATAGTATCTTGATACTGCACCAAGAGCCTAGTCCTAGATCACAGCAGCAGAAATAGAGGGGTCTACTGATACTAATTGAATTAATTTCTGGGTCATAAACTGCTGGAAGCTGGAAAAATACCCTAGTAAAATCTCACTGTACACAAATATTTCCTCAGGTGACATTGGTCTAAGTGGATATTTGGTTATTCCTTAGTAGGATTGCTCTTATACTCCCTTGGAGTACAGGGTTTCCTAGAACAAGAACAAGTGATGATACAGAACTGTTTAACAAGCAACAAAAAAACATTTTAAATCCCTCTTAAAATCCCTAATAATTTGTTAACCAACTCTGAATGATACAGTATCAAAGCTCAGAGCAAAGACCCCTGGTTCCCACACCTGCCTTCTGAGCTGGTTCCTCAAGAAAGCATGGGGTGATTAAAGAGATGTATTTTCTGAAGCATTCATTAATTACATACACTTGCTTCTCTTGTGTCCTACTAATATTCTTTTGACAATACTGGAAAATACAGCAGAACTTCTGCTCCTGTAATACTTTGGAACCTCACTGCAACCAGTTCCAGATTTCCTTGAGTAATGTTTCTGAAGGAATGGCTGCTACAAGAGAAAAGTACATATTGCTACAATGCTCTCTCTTGGCCCATGCATCCAGGACAGCAGTGCTTTCCTGCTGGCAAAAGGATTTTTTCCATGCCAACTCCTGTCCCACACTCCAGCTAAGGAAGTATCCTGCAAGGGTACTACAGTAAAAAACATTACAGTCACTTCAAAACATATTGTTGATAGGTAGTGATGAAGTATAACCCCACATGTTTATCATTACCTCCATAATATGGAAGCCACTTATATTTCTTGCCTTGGAATTCTGTCCCATCAAACTCTGCACACTGTTCTGCCCGGAAATCCCGGGAGCCTTCCGGGCAGTTCTGTTTGGAAGAGAAAACGTTCATACTGGAGTATTATAAAAAAGGAGGAAAAGAAAGTGTACAACAAAAATGTGGGGTTTATTCCTCCCATTTAAATTGGGGCAAAATTTCAATATACTTTTGAATGGATACTGTTAATGAACTGCATGCACTAGTGACATCAGAGAAACAGGAACTAGTAATCACATCTTATTTCTGAACAAGAATTTTGTTTGTCTGGGGAAGAAAAACAGGCAAGAAAAATGAAAAGCAGAGCACTATACCTGAATATTACATGACCGATAGCTTCGTGTTGGCCCAACACAACTGGAAGGACCTTCTGTCCTGGAAGACAGAAAAAATACATGGAGCTCTCTGAAGAATACACATGCAAAAAGTCATCTCATGGCAGATATTACAAATCACCTTCACACTAAGCATATGCCCATCACAGAGTTCCCTGAAACAGCAAAATAACTAAAATGCACTTCTTCACAACTAAAGCAAGCTGGCATTTTCTAGTGGCATTTTATGTTATGGCTTGTATTCTGGCATAAATAAGACACACCCCATGAACAACTGCAGTGCAGCCCTTCAGGGTCACGTTTGAACCAAATAATGGAAGCTGAGATTTTAGTCCATTGTCCACCAGCAAAGGGTCGAGGTGTCCATACAAGAAAGGAAAACATGCTATGAGCAGCACGAGGATAATGGCCAATTCAGAATAACTTTGTGCATCATTTATCTTGATTTTTTTTGTGCTTAATAGGTCCCTTATTAGGAAGGACGAAACATGCCCATGGAAGTGTGCAATACCCTTAGTCCAGTCAAATGACCCCAGCTGAGAATTATGGAGAGTAACAATTATGGAGGAAATTGATCTAAAAAGCCAATCGATGCCTAACACCTCAGTGTTCCTAAAATGGAGAGACAGGCCTTCAGGGATTCTAGCAAGTATAAACCATAATGGACAGCCTTCAAAAGAGACCTTTCTTTATTCTCTGTGGGAAGCAGCAGCTTCATAACTCTGGCTTCTTCTATTACAAAACCTCCTCGCATTTCTCTAAACAGAAAGAGGCTGCTTTTTGCATTATATTGATAGTCTGGCTTTTTTTTTCCTCCTTTGCTTTGTTTTCATCCACAACAGGATCTCTAAGGTCCATCATTCCCAACAGGTGCAGTACCAGTCATCATCCTCATTAGGATGCAACTAACTCAGCTGCAAATGAGGTGGCACAGCGCTAATACTGTTTGAGCCAATTCATGCTTCCATTTCTTCTGGGGCAATTTACCATCCTGGGAATCATAAACCTGAAAAAACCTCAGTGCTGTCACCAGCTCTCAGGACAGAAACCAACTGCTCTGGCCTGTTCTCCATCTCCCTCAGGGCTTGCCACACTAGACCCAATTGAGCAGCTGCTACCATGCCAATCCCGATTGCACAGCCTCAGATCTCACAGAGAAACTGCTGTGCTCTATCAAAGGAGCCAAAGTGAGCATGTGTTGAAGAGGGCCCTACTCAAAGCAGCAGTGACAAGACTAAAACTGGGGCTCATCTCAAAGTGGACTCATTCCCCTGGGATCAAACATTAAGTCATTTTTTTCTGGCTATATGTTGGAACATAACTTCAGGAGCTCAGTAACAGCACAACACATTTAAAGAAAAGAAAGAAAAAAAAA